CCCAGGACCCCAGAATCATGACCTGAACCAAAGGCAGACGTTCAACCACTGAGCCACCCAGGTGCCCCTCCCCTACCTCTCTCTTATAAGGACCCTGTGATTAAACTGGGCCCATGGGATAATTCAGGATAATCTTCCCTTCTCAAAATTCTTATCTGTAAATCACATCTTCGAAGTCCTTTTTTGCTGCGTTAACAAATTCACAGCTTCTGGCAATGAGGATGTGGAAATCTCTGGGGAGCCATCATTCTGCCTACTACACGGTCTAAGAGAGAAATTATCTAGTGGACTGGAGTGCTCTGGGCCTTAACTATATAACCTCTTTCATCTGCAGTTTTCAGAGGACTTACACAGAATTTTTCTCCTTACACTGATTGTGGGAAGTGGATTAAGGAAGGCAGCATGGAGCCTATCCTGTAAGGGAAGCAGAAGACAGGAGGCACAGTGCCTGAGTCACACAGCTAGAAAGAGACTCAGGCCCAGAGACTTTTCATCAGCATCTTCCTTCCCGGGTCCAGGCCCTGGGCCACTAAAATGGTGTTCTCACTGGTGGAGTGGGGCAACTTGTCAGGTACCCCCACAATCTAGTGGAGGAAGCCCTCTGGGTGAGCCAGCTCCCTTGGTTCTCCCCTCAACCAGCAGCCTTCTCCTGAACCAGGACCGGGAGGGAGGGAGGGAGAGAGGGGAGGAGAAGGCAGACAAGAACCTCCTTTTGGGGGAGAACCTCAGCATAGAGCCCAGACCGTGAAGTCCATTGGCCTCGGGCATGACCTTGACAGCAGCCCAGGCAGGTGGTCCCAGAGATTCCCACACCAGAGGCAAACTCTGATTAAAAAGTCTTCCAGGGATCCCTGGGTGGCGCAGCAGTTTGGCGCCTGTCTTTGGCCCAGGGCGCGATCCTGGAGACCCGGGATCGAATCCCACATCAGGCTCCCAGTGCATGGAGCCTGCTTCTCCCTCTGCCTGTGTCTCTGCCTCTCTCTCTCTCTCTGTGACTATCATAAATAAAAAAAAAAAAAAAAAAAAAAGTCTTCCAGCAAAACTCCCGAGAATGTCACTGTGGTTTATGGTTTTGCCTTTGAGTGCTGCTACATGGCGGCAGGGATGGGGCAGGCTCTCTCTGTGCCCCACAGATATTTAAAGGCATCTACCATGAACCTACTGATGCTTCTCCAGGCTTCCCCCCAACTCCCCATCCTTGTCGATGGCTTACATGCGCCATGCACTATTCCAGGAACTGGGATACAGCCACCGAGTCTGACTGGCAAGGTGCCTACTCCCCTGGCCCTCATGCTTTGGTGAGGGCAGACCAACAAACTACGTACAGAAGGACAGAGTAAGGATTCCGAGGATAGCAAAACAGGTCGAGACGAAGGAGGGTGACAGACAGTCGGGGATCAATGCGGTCCCCACTCCAAAGAGGAGAGAAATGGTTTAGGAAGGGCAATGTTGAGATGCAAACCAGTGGTTTACCCTCACTCTGTGCCACCTCCTAAAAGTCTCCCCTTGTGTCCTTCTCCAGGGAGACGAAGGGCAATTTGAGCGTGGGGGTGGTGCCCAGAGTCTGCGCATCATCCCTGAGGCTGAAGTCAGTCCGTTCTGGGAACAGAGTCCAGCCGTGGCCTGACTTCAGGGCCCAGAAGAATCTAAGATGGCCACTGCATGCCAGCTGAGCCAGGTTCTAGTGAGGAGGCTGGTGGGGTGATCTGTCCTTTCAGAGTGGCAGCCAGATGAGACGGGGGTGAGCCAGCCGTGTGGAGAGTGGGCCAGGTGTGTTTGTGGAAGTGAGGCTGAAGCAGTGGCCAGACCTGGGAGGAGAGAGCCAGAGGTGAGGGTGGATGATGCCAAGATATGAGGGGCTGGAGAGTAGGCTGCCCCAGCCTCGGGCCTGGGAGGGGTGGCTGTCCCTGGAAGGGGACCATGAAGCCTGTGGAGAAAACACAGTTTCTATTTCAGGAGGCTATTTAGCCTCTGCAAAGAGTGGCTGACGACATGCCCGGCACCTGGCTGGGTGGAAATAAACTGAGACACAAGGCAGTAATTGAGGTTATGCCCTCTGTCGACCCAGCCACCGCCTCTCCTCCCTGAGCTCCAGAGAGGTTGCTGGGGGCCAGGGTGGGGGGTGGATGGGAGGGTGGGGGTGGGGGAGGGGACTGCTCCAGCTAAATGATGCTGGTCCCTGCCCCACTCTCCACACCCAGGGCATTCTCCTATTGGGACCTCAGCTCCTGCTGTGTCCCCCCACAAGGAGGGCCTATCGCCTGATCTGCCTGTTGACTTCTTACCTTCAGCACCTCACCTCAAATGCTACCTCCTCCATGAAGGCTCCCCTGATGCATTTTGCTGTTCCCAGGTTCCCCTCTGAGCTCATATATTAGAGTTGGAAATCCACTTTGAGATGATTCAGCTCTGTCTAGAGCAAACTGACTTTAGTCTACTCCAGGGAGCGAACTCTAGGGAGTTCCTGGAATTGAATGCAAAATCACCTGCAAAACCAAAAGCATAGATGGTGGTTAAACAAAAGTGGCAAAGCCACATAAGGGAATATTATTCGGCCATAAAAAGGACTGGAACAGTGACTCAGGCTATGACATGGATGAGCCTGGAAAACATTATGCTGAGTGAAAGCAGGCAGGCATAAGAGGCCCAATAGTGTGTGATTCCACTTATGGGAAATATCCAGAATTGGCAAATCAATAAAAACAAGATCAGTGGCTGCCTGCAGCTCTGGAAAGGGGAATGGGGAGCGACTTGTGGGTACAAGGTTTCTTATTGGGATGATGAAAAGTTCTAGAACCAGATAGTGGTAATGGCTGCACAACATCATGAGGGCACCAAATGCCTCTAAATTGCAATTATTGAAATGGTGTATGTTACATGTATTTTACCACAATCATTTTTTTAAAAACCCAAATGCACATATCAGGGGAGAAACTCCCTAGCTTTGCTTAGATTTTCCAAAGGTTAAACTACTCTGATCTGGTCTGACACCGTCATGAAGCAGATGGTGATACTGAAGCACAGAGAGCAGAGGGGACCCATCCAAGGTCATTCAGGGGACGACAGGAGAGCCCAGCCAGGTTATGTAGCCACCTAACCAAGCACCTCTCCCACCCCTTTCTTCCCTTGTCTTTTAGCCTCTGCGGAACCCTCCCTGAACGGCCGCCCAGGCCTCTGTCCCGCTCCTAGCCAGGCTACCCACAAGCTGTGCAGCCTCCCAAAGTTAAAAGGCCTTCCAGAAGCTGGGCTCTTAGAATGAGTTTCATGAGTGTTTGTCTTTAGTTCTAGAGTGCACTCTGAGCACCCAGAGAGCAAGAGGGGATGTTTCTTATTTTCCTCCATATGTCACAGAGCTCCAGGCTACTTTCTTCAAGAAAGAAATCACTGTTCACCTGCAAGAAGTGCAGGTGGCAGACAGCCTCTAATGAACATTCTTTGCCCCAGAGGTCCACTACTCTGGAGAATCTGCAACACCGTCTGAGGCTTTCCCAGCCCAGTCCTGCTTCCTTCCCCTAAGGCTTTACCACACCCCCACTTTGCCCTGCAGTAAACATCTTGCACTCCTAAACCCGTCTCCATGTCTGCTTCCTGGCAAGTCCAGATGACACAGTGATCGGCTTGATCTATCTTAAGTGCTCCGTAAATGTTCACGGAGTGAGCTAAACTGGGGACTCCCTTGCGGGGGTAAGGTGGGTGGAAGGAGGCTAGTGGTTGGGCCTCCAAGAGCAAAAGAGAGGTTGTCTACGGAGGATGTTTCAGTAAGAAAGTGACCATATAGAGGGGCATGAAGAGGCGTCTGGGGAACACACAGGGAGCGGGGAGATTACCCCTACAGTCATCCTCCCTAGTTCCTCCCCTTGTCTAGGGCAGACTGAAGCAAAGCTCTGACATGGCCCAGAAGACAGGGCACAAAGAGTTCTGGCCTTGGATTTGGGGGAACCAGGCTCAAACTATACTTCCTGCTACTCAGGTGCCTTTACAGCCTCCTCTTATGTAGACCTCAGTTTTTTCATCTGTAAAATGGGTATAGAGCCCATCTTCCCAACCTTACCAAGATTTTGAGAACTGAGAAGATTCTATGGCTTATGGAGATCTCTGTGGTGGGTACTTTTCATGCATATTCTCAATTATGCATCTCAAGTACTCAAGTACATATTCTCAATTATGATCTCAAGTGGCCTTGTGTGGGAGGCATCATCATCTTCATTTTATAAGTGAGAAAACTCTGGCTCAGGGACGTCAAGGGGTCTGGTCCAAGAACACACAGCTAGCAAGCAGGCAGTCTGGCTCCAAAGCCCCTTCATTATTCCACACACAGTTTGAGTGACTACAAAGTGCTAAACTTGGGTTGGAGTGGGGGTGGGGACAAGGGACAGGCCTGCCTTGCTCTTAACGGAGGTTACATTCTCAAGAGAACTTGATAACAGGCGCGCACACGCGCGCACACACACACACACACACACACACACACACACACACCCCGCCGCCTGCCCCAACAAACAGAATAATTCGAGAATGCCTTAGGGCTCTAGGGAAAAAAATAAACAAACCAGGTGCAATTGTAAAGTTGAGACCACAGAGGGTCTACTTTAAATTCGGGGGTCAAGGGCAGCAGCATCTGCAGAGATTGAAACCAGCAGTACAAGGGGCGCCCAAGTCGGGGTAAAAGCCTGGGCTTTGGGGGAAGTGATGGAGAACCTGCGGCGAGCGCGGGCGGGCGGAGGCCACAGGGGACCGGCAGGGGCCACCGGGTCACTGAAGCCCACGGGAAGCCGCGCAGGGGGGTTCGGCGGGGCGTGGAAGAAACGGCCTGATGGAGGCGCAGAGGGAAGGCGGGCGCCGGGGCGATGCTGACTCACGCCCCCCGCCCACCTCGCCCCGCTCCCGCGGGTCTCGCCCCGCCCCCGCCCCGCCGGGCGCTGACGTCACGGCGCTCGCCGGCTCCTGTGACGTCACGCCCCCGGCCCGCAGCTTCGCTCGGTTCGGCGCGCGGCGGGAGCGGCCCTCGGCGGGCGCGAGGGCGTGGCCGGATGAAGAAGGTGGCTGCCAGGCAGTCTCCGCCCAAGCTGATCGGTGGGTGCGCCCCCGCGCGAGGCGCTGGTTGCTATGGACGCCTCGGCGGCGGCGGGCGGGAGGGCGCGGGGTCGCCGGGGTGTCGCGCAGCCTCGTTGTCCCCGGTCCCGCGGCGCAGGGTCACGCTCTCAGCCCGGGCGGCACCATGAAGTCTCTAAAGAAGGAGTCCCGCCTCAAAATGTCTACACACAGATTCTTGGAGGCCGCAGAAGTCTTTAAAGGTTGGCGCTGGCTGCCTTGGGCGCTCAGGAGAACCCGAGAGGGGCTGGGGTTCTTGGATGGGATTCACGGCACAGGGCCTGGAGGACGGGGGTGACACCAGGACAGAGGTAAAGATAACGGGGGAATGGGGTACGGAGCAAGGCGTACCCCAAACCGCAGGGCTGAAGGCAGCGACCCCTGAGGGGAGGGGGCCCAGTGCGCTGGGCCTTGGGGATGGGGACCTAGAAAGGCCGGAGAGGCCTCAGAGTCAACTGCTGGGCAGATGGCCCTGGGCAGGAAGGCCGGATCTTAGGGTGGGACTCCGCAGGCCCGAGCCCTCCGCTGGCGGGGGTTCAGAAGAGTCAGGAAAGAGGTCCAGGAACCCCAGTCCTTGGGAAAAGAGATTCAGAAAAGAATGCACGAAACATGTTGAGGTGGTGAAACCAACAACCCCACCAGGGGGATTCTTTGAGGGTGTTCACATAAGCCGCTGGCTGGAAAAACCCAGAAGAAATGCCCGACTTGGCCAGTTCTTCCCACCTCTTTCCACCACGTATGCCCTCTCGGGATGGATGACACTTGTCCCACTTGTTTAAACTGGAGACCGTCTCAGACATGACAGCGTCCTGGCCTCCTCTGGTTGCAGGTGGCGGAGTCCCAAGGTGTCTGACTGCACATTCACCCCCGTGGACGTGTTCCTATGTGCAACTCACCTCATCTCCATCTTTTGCCATTTCCATTTATTGAGGGCCTGGCTCTGTGGGCAGGCACTGTGCTGGGCAGCAACGGTGTCAGTATTAACTGTGTGACCCTGGCCCACAAGAAACCCAATCTAGTGAACTGCCAGAGGAGGAACCAGGCAAATATCAATGCTCGGATACAGGGATCCCTAGTGGTTAAGGGGGCTCAGAGCCCTTGATCCCAGGCCTTAGATGCTAGAATTTGGGGGAAAAGTTTTCTGAAGAGGTGACATCTGTGGCTGACATCCCCTCCCCCACCTTCTTCTGAAAAAAGGCAGTTTGCTTTCCCAGGTCCAGGGAGCAGGGAGCAGCATGAGCTGAAGCATGGAACTAGGACCTTGGTGGCCAGGGCAGAGGTGGTGGGTGTGGAGGAGAGGGAAGGAGCCAGACAGGGCTACATGGGTAGACGGGGGCCAGACCACGCCACGGCCTTACTTGCTAGGTCAAAAAGTCTGTTCATGCTCTTGCAGGCCCTGAGGAGACCCAAAGCCAGCCTCAGAGCAGCGGTCAGCGTGAGGAGAGGGGCAGGTCTGCAGTCAGCAGAGGCCCCTGGGAGGCCTGCTTAGTCACTATGGCTGGCTTTATCCCTCTTCGTAGTATAAAAGTCTGATTTAGGCTGGGTTGAGATGCTGTTTCATGACATAATTTTTTTTTAAGGTTTGTTTATTTATTTGAGAGAGAACACAAGCAGTGGGGAGGGGCAGAGGGAGAAGCAGACTCTCTGCTGAGCAAGGAGCTTGATGCAGGGCTCGATCCCGGGACTCGGAGATCATGACCAAGGCAGAGACTTAACGAACTGAGCCACCCAGGTGTCTCTCATGATATAATTCTTAACAGTTAAGAGGGAAAGAAAAATAGCTGGGCCCCTTTCCCAAGGGCAGTCAAGGGCTTTCTTAGCCATTGCCTTCTGCACACCTAGTTTCTGGATCTTATCAGATTTGAACTTTCTACTGTAAACGAATCAAGGAAAGATTTATCACTACATATTTATTTTTTTAAGAAGGGGAAACGTAGTTTGTTAAATAGCCATTTGAGTTGGGAACATGCACTGGGGTGATGAAGGATAAAGCCAGTGTTTAGTTTGGCATGCAAGATACCCCTCTCTTCCCCCTAAAATATCTCAGGGGATGTCAATAATGTAGTATAAAAGTACTTTTTACACCCTCTCCCCCATATGATATAATTAATCAACACATATAATCTTGTGCTATGTTTCTCCACGGTCTCTGAATTATAAGCAAAAAGGCAAGCAAATAATGTGACTATAAATCTGTTTGGGGACGTGAGCCCTTTTGACTTCCGTGTTTCTCCCTGCTTTTGTTAAGAAACCGGGAAGACTCCCAGCAGTACCAGATGCCCCTCGCCAATCAATGAAAGCTCTGCCCTGAACCCTGGGGACAGCCTCTCCCCTGATTCTCCCAGTGCAACCCTGAATTCAGAATTTCCCAAAGACCTTGGTCAACATTGAAAAGGAATAATGTAAAAAAAAAAAAAAAAAGAAAGAAAGAAAAAGAATAATGTTTAGATAACACAAGAAACAGAAAACTTGAGGCCAGGTTTCTTCTCCCTCCATAGTTTCTCCCCTTTCCCCCACCCCTACCTCGTCTGAGTACCTTGCTTCTAGCTGCCTGGCCTAACACCAGCAGAAATGTTACCCAACTGCCCCATGTAAAGGGGCTGTCTCTGACCCCCTCACAGCTGCCAGGATCAAGGGAGAAATGCCAGCTATGGGACTCCCCAGAAGCCCCACTCAGCTTGGGTTTCTAGACCAAAGAACAGGGAATAGCTGAGCCTCCATTAAGTTTAGTAGTAAGACATATCTTGATCCTGCTGAGCGCTCCCACAGGTCCTGAAATGACCCCCCTACACACAATAGTCCTTCCTCCCTGCTCTCCCCAACTTGCCTCTCCAAACCACCAACCTCCCCCGCCCAGCCCCCAGTCCACCTGGCTTACCCTCATTGGATGAATCACTCTGAAATGCTGCTTTTACCAACTCACTCTCCTGGACCAAACCTTCTTCCTGCCAGCAAGAAGACAGATGCTTCAGCCTTACTTTACCAAGCTGTCATGCCCTGATTTTTCTCTCATCCCCAATATCACCCCTACCTCCCCCAACAAGCCTTCTGTGTCACCATGCCTCACATACGTCATGCTCTGCCCTGCCTCCACCTTTGTTCTTTGACCTCACTTGGAACATCTTTGTTTGCTGCTCTGCCTGTCTGAAGGTTTCTGGTCCTTCAGGGCCTAACTTAGCCTCTGTTCCCTGCACCTGCTCTTCTGAACCTTTCTTTACAGCCCTAACCTGTATGATCCACATCCATCTGTTCCCTCTTTGATGTGTAATCAAACACCTTATCTGTGCCACTAAGTTAGGCCCCTATGTTATGCTGGTGCATGTTAGTGTCTGCTGCAGTTTTTCAGTTCCTCAAGAGAAGGAGCCATAGCTTAGCCTTTTTTTTTTTTTTAAGATTTTATTTATTTAATCATGAGACACACAGAGAGAGGCAGAGACATAGGCAGAGGGAGAAGCAAACTGCCTGAGGGAAGCCTTATGCAGGACTTGATCCCAGGACCCCAGGATCATGACCTGAGCCCAAGGCAGACAGTCAACCACCTAGGTGCCCCATCTTCTCTGCAGTTTATAGCACACACAAAAAAAGTTGCTCAATGAATATTCTCTACGGTGAGTTGAAGTTCCAAATGTATATATCATTTTTCTAAATACTTCATTAACTAGAACACAGTACTCCCTGACTATGCCATAACAGAGCATTAAACAGCATTCAAGATAACCTCAGAGAAATCTCAGAGCAGAGTATTTCAGAAATCTTTAGCAATGTTGAAGGTTTTTAAGTTTACGCATGGTAATTATACGCCCACCGGTAAAAAGCATACATCTGGAGATATTTAATCCCTCGGGAAGATGTAGACCCAGCTGAGGTGACAGACAGGAAGCAGAAGTCCTGGAAAATATAAATTCCAAAATAGTTATTTATGTAAAGTCTTTTTATTTATTTATTTAATCTCCACACCCAGTGTGGGGCTCCAACTCATGACCCCTAGATCAAAAGTTACATGCTCCTCTAACTGAGCCAGCCAGACATTCCCAAATTCCAAAATATTTATAAAAGGAGACCGTCAACTGCTACCAGTTCTCTCTTGGACTACCACCAACTTTGGTGGCTTTATGTACAAAGGAGAGAGGAAGTGGAAATTAAGACCTAAGGCTGTACCTGCACGTACAGCAGCAGATGGGACCAGAACTCGGGGGTCAAGCCGTTCAGCCCTGTGTGTGTGTGTGTGCATGCACGTACGTGCACACAGCTCAGTGGTTTAACTGACAGATACTCCTGGGTTTCTGCTGACCTTATTGGCAGAGGAGAAGACTCTGACCAATAGGCTGCGTTTAGAATTATGTTGGAATGATTCTGGCGTGGGTTTTTCAGCCACTATGTGGGCATTTCCTAAAAACATTGGATTTTGGTAATCAAAACCCCTGCTTTGATGTTTTAGTGATATTGCCCCTTCAAAATTAGAGTACTCTGAGGAGCAGTGGACAAAACCAAGTTTTGTTTTAAAGTCTCTAAAAGGGGGCAGCCCCGGTGGCACTGCGATTTAGTGCCGCCTGCAGCCCAAGGTGTGATCCTGGGGACCCGGGATCGAGTCCCACGTTGGGCTCCTTACATGGAGCCTGCTTCTCCCTCTGCCTGTATCTCTTTTCTCTCTGCCTCTCTCTCTCTCTCTCTCTCTGTGCCTCTCATGAATAAATAAATAAAATCTTTAAAAAAACAACAACAGTAGTTTAAAAATAAATGAATAAAGTCTCTAAAAGGCAGGACTTAGTCTTTCTGTTGATTATCCTGTGGTGGGCCTTACATCACATCATTTTTTTTTTTTTAAGATTTTACTTATTTATTCATGACAGACAGAGAGAGAGAGGCAGAGACACCGGCAGAGGGAGAAGCAGACTCCATGCAGGGAGACTGATGTGGGACTCGATCCCAGGTCTCCAGGATCACACCCTGGGCTGAAGGCGGTGCTAAACCGCTGAGCCAACGGGGCTGCCCACATCACATCATTCTAAACTAGGGGGCAGCAGACAGGAGGACCCTAGCCAGAGAAGCAAGATGCATTTGAAACTGTTAACCCACGTCTGTGGAAAGCAGACCGGCAGTGTATTCTCACTGGAGAGTGACTCGCTCTAACCATGAGTTGTCAGAGCTGCGCTCCAGCCCCCGCACTTGAGAGAAATAGGCTCAGATCTCTCCACTTTCGTCCAGTCCCACGAGCCACTTTTGTCCCCAGTAGACTCATAAATAGTGCCCCGCTCCGTCTTGCACCCCCCAATCTGTTCCTTGCTATATTGTAGCCCACGGGGTAAAGACCGAAGTCCTTTACACAGCTCACTAAACTCTTCGCCATGTGGCGCCTACTTCCCTTCCCAGGCACTGCTTTCTACCCCCCATCTTGCTGCACTCCAGCTATTTGAAAAATGTGCTCTGAGTTCCAGATGCCCACTCTGTTCTGTTGCCTCTAGGCCTCTTCCTGCTGTTCCCTTTGGAATGCCTATTCCCCAAGCCTTTCTCACATCTAAGTTCTGTCATCTTCAGCTCTTGGGTTAAAAATCACCCCCGCAGGAAGCCCTCCCTGAGTGCCCCGTGCACTGGGCTGGGGTCCCCCTCGATGCCCCCCATGGTGACCCTAGTTCAGTGACCCTGTTTGACAGTCTTGTCTCCTATGAGTTTGTGTTCTTGGAAACCTGAGACTCTGCCTGTATCCCCGGAGCCTAGCACAGTGTCTGGCTGGATGCTTAAACAGTATTTATTATATGAAAGAATGTGAAATAAATGCTCAAAGGTGAATGTTCTGCTTCCCTCAGAACATCTACATTTTAGCCAGTATCTTAGGAAACCTGGTGTCTTCACCTAGAACAATGCATGGTTTGCCAGCAAGAAGGGAGGCTGAGAAAGCATCTAGTCTGGTTGTCTCAAACTCCTCAGCATCAGAACCACCTAGGGTGTTAAAAAGAACAACAACAACAACAACAAACAGTTCCCCTGGCCCTGGCCCTACTCAGTATTATTTTTATTTTTTTTATATATTTTAAACTTATTTATTTATTTATTTATTTATTTATGAATGAGAGACATACAGAGAGAGACAGAGAGAGAGAGGCAGAGGCACAGGCAGAGGGAGAAGCAGGCTCCATGGAGGGAACCCGATGTGGGACTCGATCCTGGGTCTCCAGGATCACACCCTGGGTCAGAGGCAGGTGCTAAACCGCTGAGCCACCCAGGGATCCCTGGGAAGCTATCTTTGTATAACTCTCCAGAAGATCCTCAGGCAGACATTTGACTAATATTTGGTAACCACTGATTTAGTCCAGCTTTCTCTTTTTACCAAAAGGAAGGCAGAGACCAGGAGAGGGTAAGTGATATACCCAAGATTGTATAGCTTCTAAGTAGCACAGCCTGGAATTGACTCTCAATTCTGATCTCAACTCCAGCTCCAGAAGTCCCAGTCACTGTAGCAGGCCAAGAGGAACAGGTAGGGGGACCTTCCAGAGTAAACTGCAGACCGTCTTAGCAGCCTCTGCTGTCTGTCTAGGTGTTGAGCTCTGCCTTCTACCATGAAACCTAATATAGATAGATATTACCTATCAGATAGTAGAATATATTATATATCTATTAGATATTAGAATATTTATTGTATATTAGAAATATATATATATATACTTGTACCTTTGCTTCTCTTCAGAAAAGAAGCGGGCAAAGGTACCTGAGCAGCCCACACCCCCCATTCAGGAAGAACCAGAGTCTGTTAGCAATGTCCTACAAGGAGATGACATTCTTGCCTTAGCCATCAAGAAAGAAGACCTCAAGAAGGTAAGCATAAAGTCCAGGGATCCCTTACAGCAGGAACTTTTCTGGGCCAGTCTATGTGGTCTAAAACATCGACCATGTCTACATGTCTACTCTCTCTTCACCACCTTCCTACTCAGAGGGAATGTCTTATTCCATGGAAAAATTGAACATGAATTTTTTTAGAGTTCTTTTAAATTTAAATTCAATTAATTAACATATAATGTATTATTGGTTTCAAAAGTACAGGTCAGTGATTCATTAGTCTTAATATAGCACCCAGTGCTCATTACATCACACGCCCTCCTTAATGCCCATCACCCAGTTACCACATCTCCTCTCCCCACTCCCTCCCCTCCAGCAACCCTCAGTTTGTTTCCTACGATTAAGTCTCTTATGATTTGTCTCCCTCTCTGATTTTGTCTTGTTTTTTTTTTTTCCTTTCTTCCCCATGACCCTCTGTTTTGTTTCTTAAATTCCACAGGAGTGAGATCATATGATAATTATCTTTCTCTGATTGACTTATTTCACTTAGCATAACATCCTCTAGTTGAACATGAATTCTTTGCACTTTTGCATCTAACAGAATTTACTATGTTGTTTTAACGTTTCTGAGAGTCCTATAGAACCCCAGGGAAATGAGATATTGAGGTATGTCTTGCTTCCCATGGAGGCAAGTGCCCATCATCCCCATTTCACAGATGGGAAAATGAGTCTGAGAAGCACATTACAGATGTGGATATAGCTGCTAAACCCTAACCCCATGCTTTACCTGGGAGAGTCAGCCATTCCTCACCTGTACTGTCTGGAGACACTACATGTTAGTTTTTTTCCTCCAGAACATTACTGAGCCTTATGTCTGTTGCATGGGCATTTCCTCGACAGAGCATATGGACAGAGTTGGAGCAACAGATTTGTCAGCCTTCAGGAATTCCACCAAGAATTAGGACAGAGGAGATGGGTGGTGTTTTTTCCTCCTCCTGATCTCAAGTGGAATTCTCCTCTGTTTTGTTTTGTTTTTAGCAACACATTCCTCGCCTTTTTGAGACACAAGACAGACCTGTCATTACCCAGAAATTTATCATCCGTAAACTCAAACCCAAGGATCCAAAGAGGAAGGTCTGCCACTTAGTAGCACATCCCGCAACTCCAGATGCAGCCACGAAGCCCCTGGACTACTCTGGTATGTCCGGCCTTGGCCCTGGCGTCACTGGTCTCTGAATTCATGGGACCAAGCTGGGTCGCCATCAGAAAATAACCCCCTTGAAATGTTTCCATGAGGTAGTCCTTTCCCTCCTTTTCCCCACCAGGTCCAGGTGACAGCTTCCATGGCTCTGAACAGATCCTGTCTCACCACATCTTGGGAAGCCTCCAGGACTTTAAGAGAATTGCAGTTGCTCAAGGGAACACCCAGGTTGGTTTGTACAGAGCTGCTCGGATGAGAGAAGTCACTGAAGTCGTTCCAGCCTTAACCAGCTGGCAGAGTCCAGCAGGACTGGGGTTACAGAGACAGTTCAGTCTATGGGCCCTGTGTCCGAAGTGCTAGCAACCCTCCACCTGAAAGGGTGAAACCACCTTAAACTAGCTTCAGCTGAAGTCAGGAGTTCACAATAAAGATACAGAAGCTCCTCAAGGAACCCCAAAGCAAGAGTGTGTCCAGCTCCAGTTAGACTGGACTCCGACCCCAGGACTCAGAGTTCCCACTCCCTCCTTCCCTCCATTCTTCTATGCACCAGCTTCATTATCCCTCCTCCAAAGCCTGGCCCACTTCCTCTTTGGTCCACATGGTGGAAGAAGGTGGCTTCCTGAAGCTCCCAGGGCCACATGTCTGCCTGACTTTCCCCGGCATGGGGTGCTTTGCTCTCTTTTAGTTCCTTTGCTGTCCTGGCTCTAGGCAAAAATCTCTGGTCTGGTGCCAAGAGGCCTGGAGTCATATAAAAATGGCTCTGTGGCCCTGCAGATGAAGGTGTCAATTAGCATTGGTTGTGAGGGGGACCTATAGACTGAGTTGCCGACCACCGTCTCAGAGCAAAGGTTCCTATCTGAAAGAAAGGTATCTGACAGGGGCTTCCAAGGCTCTCTGGGTCTGTCAGTCCCTATGTGAGGGTCCAGAACAGGAGGGCCTCTGAGCAGAAGGTCGTGAGGGTGGGGGGACAGTAGGGGGTGAAGCCTGGAGAAGTCTCTGCTTGACTCTGGCTCAGTACCTCCCTGTCACCCACACGCCTTCGGTGTACTTTGCAGCTGGCTGAGCTGATACACACCCCACCAGGCTTGGTGACCCTAATCTCAGCTAAAAAAGAACCAAAGCAGAAAGCCCCAGAAGAAAAGAAGGCACATCCCTGGGCCCCACCTCCTCAGCACAACTTTCTCAAAAACTGGCAGCGCAACATCAACTTGTGGAAGCAGCAGCAGGAAGTCCTCAGCGGTGAGCACAATGGATGGGGTTCCTGCTGAGCCTCATCCACCACCACCACCACCACCACCACCACCACCACCACCGAGGCTCTGCTGCTGTGTTTTTCTGTCCCTCCGCCCAGCCACAGGCTGGCCCCATTTCCACCATCTACTCCCAAGTGCTCCTTCTCTTAGCGGGTCCTGAAATCAGCCCAGCCATGGCGCTGACCAGTGTGCAGTACTGGAGCCTTTGTTCTGACTCAAGGAAGGGGCTCCATTCTTGGCTTGCCCTTTCTAGAATGCCTGAAGAAGCCTGTGGGGGAGCTGCTGATGCACACTGGGGAGACCTACCGACAGATCCAGGAAGAACGGGAGCTCATTGACCGAATACTTCCAACACAGCATGATGGGAAGGTGAGGACAGAGTTCCCAAGTGCTCCGTGAGAGGGAGTCTGGACCCAGGGATGGCTGCCTCAGGTCGCACAATTAGGAACAACAACAAATCTGCTCATTGCAAGGCCTTGTTAAGCTCTGAAGGACTTTACTAAATCCTCTCATTGGTCCTGTTTTCAGATGCTTGGGGCTGCCTGGCTAGCTTGGTTACTCAGCCTGTGGTGGTCAGTGGTAGTCAATTTGAGGGGAAAGCTACTGGGTTATTAGAATAGTCTCAGTGTTCTAAAAGCCAAGACTCCAGCTCTCAGGTGACCTGGGGCATCATCCTGTGCTCTGGTTTGTCAGTGCAGCCACCTATGTGGGCCCAAGCCACTCGACTTGGGCTACAGCAGGGCATCCCAGAAACAAAGTGGGTGCTTCTGTCCTGCTCTCGGGCAGCAGCGAGTTCCCCAGGGGGAGCATCTGAAGTCTGTGGCACTCTTGTTCCCCGGAGCCCTGGACCTCCACCACCCTCTCTCCAAAGTGTCCAAGTGATGTGACTCATGTCCTTGCCAGAGCTGTGAGGAGACCACTGGGTTCTGGAGTCGCCTGGAATACTTGGGAGATGAAATGACGGGTCTGGCAATGACAAAGACAAAAGCTCAGCGTGGCATCCTGGAACCAATCACTCACGTCAGGAAGCCCCGCTGCATCCAGGTGGAGATGGGTGAGGAGCAGGTTGGAAGCACACTGGCAGCTTGCAACTGGCCTAGGATGGGGGGTGCGGGTGGGGGCCAGCATGGCTCTGGAGTGAGAACTGCCTGGGATGGAGGCCTCTAAGCCCTGGAGGTCCAGCCCCCTGCAGTAGGTTAGTGAGAGAAGTGGGAAGGGGGCTGTGGGGCTGCTCTGGCTGTGTGGCCGCCATGGGCCCGGTAGTCATCAGGCACCTGGAATGTGGCTAGCATGGACCCAGGTGTGACTGCACACTGGTTTCAAAGATTAGTACTAGAAAAATACTTTAGTAATCATTTTTATATTGATTACATGTTGAAATGATACTCGTTTTGATCTGTTGGGTTCAACTATATTACTAAAGTTAATTTCACCTGTTTCTTTACACCTTTTCCAATGTGGCATCAGGGAATTTTAAATTACATTGGTGACTTGCATTTATGGTTTGCATGCTATTTTCTGTGTGGCGGCACTGCTTTAAAGGCTGCCAAAATTCCTGGGTTCAGCCCTTCCCCCCCACTCCAGAGAGTTACTTTGCCAACTCCAGAGAGTTACTTAAGCTCTCTGGTCCTCAGTTTCCCCATCTGTAAAGTACTGTGGAATGTGAGAGTGTTAAATGAGACAGGATGTATAGTAAGAGATTTGGGACAGTTGTTAAAGATTCAGTCAAACGTAGCTGCTATTATGATTATAATCCAAAGGGCAGCCTGGGTGGCTCAGTGGTTTAGCACCGCCTTCAGCCCAGGGCATGATCCTGGGGACCTGGGATCGAGTCCCACATCAGGCTCCGTGGATGGAGCCTGCTTCTCCCTCTGCCTGTGTCCTGCCTCTTTCGGTCTCTGTGTCTCTCATGAATAAATAAATAAAATCTTTAAAAAAATGATTATAATCCAAAGGTTTGCAGGTTTGCAAGCTGATCTTGCAGGATGTCCTGTACCGGGCTGCTGAGGTGGTAGGTTTGGGACAGGAGGACTGGAATCAGGCCTCACAGGGAAACTGTATTTTCTACTTTCTCAGAAGTGGTGCTGGGGGGAGGGGGTGCTCGCAGAGCCCTTGAGAGTGAGTAGGTGGGGAAGAGGCCACCACAGCCAACTGTGCTGAGGACCTCTGGACCCTGCTGCTTTAGGACTGCCAGCCCAGAAGGAGGCTTGGTACCGCTACACCTGGGATCGGAGTCTGTTTCTGATCTACCGACGTAAGGAACTGCAGAAGGTCATGGCAGAGCTGGATTTCAGCCAGCAGGTAGGTACGCCTCTGTGCTGGGTCCGAAGCCCCTTCGTGATGCCCCCATCTTCAGTGAGCTAATCTTCCCTTTCTCGATCTCTCTGAGGATATTGATGGCCTGGAGGTGGTGGGCAGAGGGCATCCTTTTACGGCTGTTACGGTGGAAGACTATTCAGTATTTGATAGGAGCCAGGAAAGCTCCTCTGAAGACATTGTGTCCTTGTGAGTTGGCCTGGACCCTCAGGAGAGAGGTTGGAAAGAGTGGCTTTCCCCAGCATGCACAGTACAAGGGGCAGACAACCCCCTCTGAAACCCAAGTGCTTCCATCCCAGCTTGTCTCTGGGTCCCTTCCAACACCTGCGCCAGCTCTGCTATGACCATCTGCTCCCTTCCAGCAACCAGCCCCTAAAGGGGATTTCCCAGCCATTCCTTTGCTGGTAAATGCCATGCATGCCGAGTGGCCATGCGTGAAGAATCTGTGTGTCCAAGAAGTGCCCACCCGTAGGAATAGAGCAGGACAAAGTGAAGCCGAGTGGAGCTGAGGGTCCTCCATCAGAGGCCAGAGCCAGGCACCTCTCCAGACTTCCTGGCAGCCATTTCCCTGGCCTCCCTGTGGCAAGACTGTGGTAGCTAGGGAAAATAAGTCATTGGTTTTTCTTACAGAGACTTGTTGGCCAATTACCCTGATGTGATCCCCATGCCTATTCTTGGCCCTTCTCTGCTGTTCTGTGGGAAGCCAGCTTGCTGGATCAGAGGCAGTAACCCACAGGACAAGGTAAAACTGCTTCCACTTTCACCCACTTGCTGGAAGGGCCTCCCTCAGGTGCAGTCACAAGGAGCTTGGACAGTCACCTATTTGCATTTTTATCTGGTCATGCATTCAGCATGTTTGAAAATGGTAACAGCAGTGCTAACTTAGGCCAGAATAAAATCACAAGGCTGAAAAGAGACTGTCACAAGCCACCCAGTTTGTACCTAGCCACCCCCCCCCCAAGCATGTAAATAAGCAAACCTTCTCAAACAGGTAGGGCTTCAAGAAGGTTCTAAAATATTCTTCAGGGGGTGCCTGGGTGTCTCACTTAGTTAAGCATCTGACTCTTGATTTCAGCTTGGGTCATGATCTCAGGGTCGTGAGATGGAGCCCATGTGAGCTTCCATGCTGGGCATGGAGCCTGCTTAAGATTCTCTCTCCCCTTTTCCTCTGACCTTCCCCCCCAACCTCACTGCCCCCCTGCCGGCTCATGGACATGCACCATCTCTCTCTCTCTTTCTTTTAATCTCTCTCTCTTAAAAAAAGAAAAAAAAAAAACCTTCAGATCTGAGGAGCAGAACTGTTCATCAGATACAAAATCTGTTTTCTCTCCCCTTCTTGCTGTGGATGGCAACTTCAGAGACAGCCACTATCCTGGTCCAATGATAGACCTCAGAGCACCCAGGCATTGGAGGACTGGGACACAGGACTTTTGGTGTCAAACCCAGAAAAGTCCCTGGCACACCAGGATGAATTGGTCACCCTGGGCCAGAGCATCCCTCAAAGACGTTTCTCATAACTCCTCCTCCCCCAGAAGCATGTTGGAATTGCCGTCCGTTTGATCTTTGAAACTCTAGAAGGAGAGAAGACATCTTCAGAACTGACTGTAGTCAATAACGGGACAGTGGCCATTTGGTATGACTGGCGCCGGAGGTCCCAGCAGGACTCTTTCCAAGGCCTGAAGAGAAGCAGGATGCCGCGGTTTTATTTTAACAATCGGGAAGGTACCTAGCTGCACTGCTCCCTGGCTTTTGCCCTCGTTCTGTGAGGAGCCAGAGTTTGGCTGATGCTCCTGAAAATTTGAGCCCCTCTCCCTGGCCTCATCCCTCCCATTTCTTCCATGTATTGTGTCCTCTCCCAACTGTCCATGTCTTTTTGGTGGAACAGTCATACTCTTGAGATCACAGAGAGGAGAGTCACCAGAGAGCAAAAACTTTCTAGAGGTTCAGTTACCTATATGCTCAGACCTGAGGTTAGGAACCCTTAATCCCTGTTTTCCTGAGACTTCCCCAGTTTTTGCACAGAAAGTTGAAAGTCAGGATCCCTGGGTGGCATAGCGGTTTAGTGCCTGCCTTTGGCCCAGAGCGCGATCCTGGCGACCCGGGATCGAATCCCACGTCGGGCTCCCGGTGCATGGAGCCTGCTTCTCCCTCTGCCTATGTCTCTGCCTCTCTCTCTCTCTCTCTCTCTGTGTGTGTGTGTGTGTGACTATCATAAATAAATAAAAATTTAAAAAATTAAAAAAAAAAAGTTGAAAGTCCTACGTCCCAGGAGACCCCTTGGTTCTGGGCAAATCGGGATGGTGTCGGTCACTCTGCCTGGGGCTCCGTTAACTGTGTATGCAAAGGTTTAGGGTTCAGTTAACTTTATACATACAGGCTTCAGGCCCAGCTGACTCCTGTGTGGTGAAAACCTGTCTTGGTCCCTCTCAGGTGTGATCCTGCCTGGAGAAACGAAAACCTTTACCTTCTTCTTCAAGTCTTTGAATGCAGGGATCTTCAGGGAATGTTGGGAGTTTGGAACCCACCCCACCCTGTTAGGAGGTGCTCCCCTGCAGGTCAATCTCCATGCAGTCTCCCTGACCCAGGATATTTTCAAGGAAGAGAGGAAGTTACTGAAGGTAAGAGGCCCGGGATGTTGGCCCCATTGGACACCAGATAAGTTCCCCTGGTCTTCTTCCTGGTACTACCTTCAGGGATCTTATTTCTCCCAGCTTAAGAGGTGAGTTTTTTGGAGTGGCGCAGCGGTTTAGTGCCGCCTGCAGCCTGGGGTGTAGTCCTGGAGACCCTGGATCGAGTCCCACATCAGGCTCCCTGCATGGAGCCTGCTTCTCCCTCTGCCTGTGTCTCTGTCTCTCTTTCTCCCCCTCTCCGTGTATGTCTCTCATTAATAAATAAATAAAATCTTTTTTTAAAAAAAGGGGTGAATTTTTCACCAACAGGTAGCTGGTTTTGCTCAACCAGCACTCCCCAGGGCTTTGTGACATAAAAGGTGGGTAGGCAGGTGAGAAGAGGAACAGCTTTCTGCCCCACCTGCAAGCAGACCTGCTGGAAGTTCTGTTCCTGCACTGTGTTCTGATGCTATCCAGTGGGGTCTGATTTAACTGGCAAGCCTTCTGAACCAGAGAGAACAACTTAACTAGTGGGGCTGACACCCGGGGAGAGAGTGAGGTGGGCACCGGGAGTCTGCTGGCCCTGGCTCCAGTCGGTTCCAGAGCTGGCCAGCGGTTGTGCTTCCAGGTATTCTGTAGAAAGCTGCACTTTTTTTTTTTTCTTTACTGTAGTCCCCAGATACAAGCCAACTACTTTAGCTGGGGGTCAGCCCCAGGTGAGCACAGGTAATTCTGATAAGTGCCATGTCTGCTTGACTTGCTGACTATAGGACCATCTCTCACATAAGATGCCCCTCCACTGTTCCTGCGACACCAACAGTGTGGCCAAGCCACACTGTAAACAGGGCCCAAACCATGGTGCCCCTACCCCTTGCCCTTCTTCCTAATCTGAGGGGAAAATGCTGACTGTATGACCTTCTGGCCCCACAAGGGAGCAATATCTCTGGGACTGGCTTCCCCTCCTATGTCCTTTCAGCCTCTTTTTTTTTTTTTTTTTAAGATTTTGTTTATTTATTCATGAGAGACACAGAGAGGCAGAGACACAGGCAGAGGGAGAAGCAGGCTCCCTGCAGGGAGCCCAATCACAGGACCCCCGGATCATACCCTGAGCCAAAGGCAGAGGCTCAAACACTGAGCCCTCCAGGCGTCCCCCTTTCAGCCTCTTTTAGGGAAGGATATTTGGTGATACCCAGGGGTTTTGACTGTGGGAACAGGAGTATGCATATGTGTGTTAGTGTGTGTGTGTGTGTGTGTGTGTGTGTGTTTAAGAGACAGACAGTGGCAGTAGCTTAACCCCTAGGAAGGCACAAAGCCCTGAGGGCTCTGACCCCCCTCGGGGCTGCAACATGGGTTTTGAAAGGCTGAGCTGCCATCTTGTCCCACCTTCCTTTCCCCAGCATAAGATGGCTGCCCGCGAAGCAGTCACCATCGTGGAGAGCGTGCTGCAGGAGCTGCTGAGTGGGATCCTGACCCCAGAGCGTGCACAGTCCCCCGTGGATGCCTATCTCACAGAGGAGGACTTGTTCCACCATAGGAACCCCCGGGTACAGGCCCAGCGCCCACCCCTGCGCCCTCACCCATTCTGAGCATCTTCCATGAGTTACTCACTTTCTCCTCACAGCAGCCCGGTGCTGGGGGTACTATTTATATCCTTGCTTTACAGTGAGGAAACTGAGGCCCAGGGCAGTTAAACAATTTGCCCAAGATAACTTAGCAAGTAAGTGGATGCCTGGTCAGAATGGAGCTGCACAACCCCAGTCTTACTTGGAAATGCAAATACAAAAAAAGCTTTAAGTCAGAGATACTCAGGTGGAAGGGGAAGTGAGGAGCTGCTCTGGCCACAGCGGCTCCTGCTGGCTTCCTCCCTGCAGCCTCCATCAGTGCTCTTGGAATGGGGAAGGCAGAGCAGGCTTGCTGGGACTCTGGGTTCTCACCTTGCCTCCTGCCCTCCCCATCACATGTCTCCCCTTGCCTTTGCCGCAGCTGCATTACCAGCACCAAGTGGTCCAAAGCCTGCACAGCCTGTGGTGCCAGTACTTGACCCTGCCCCTCAAGGCCGAGGAGGCCAGGCCCAGTGAGGTGGAGTACCTCAGCCCCAAAGCCCAGGCTGCCACGCCACAGCCAGCCTGTGTGAACCCGGAGCCTTCAGCACCCTCTAAGAGTCCAGGCTCAGAATCCCAACTGTTCCAGCAAGAGAGTGAGGCTCCCAAGGACTCCCAAGATGCTTTTGGGTCCCAGAAGCCTGGAGCAGGGGCCCAAGGCACTCTGCGGAAGAGCATTATGGAGGAGATCCTGGTGGAGGAGAGCCCAGACCTGGGGAGCACCAAGAGCCCCTGGGAGCCGGATGGCCTTCCCTCTCCTGAGTGGAACCTATGCTTGGAGGATTTCAGAAAGGTGCTCCCCTGACTCTGAAGGGGTGGGTAGAATGGTGGCCCTGGTGTAGGTGGCAGTACACTGAGGGAGGGACCCAACAGACTCTCCGCCCCCATAAGCAAAGAAACAAACCCTGCTGAGAGCCCAGAGAAAGCAGTCTTTTGAGTCATCTCTTTTTGTCTTGGGTGCCTAGGTCACCGTGGAGTGGGGTGGGACAGATCCCTCTCTGACCCAGGCACACCTTGGAGAAGGGGTACATGGGTACATAGTTCTGGGGGAGGTCCCCTCTCCATGGCTGCATCTTCTGGCCATCTGTCCTCGCCGCACCAGGCCCATCACTAGAAGATGTAGAGATCCCCGGTGCCCTGGGCAGGACAGCTGCCCATGGTACCTACAACTCTGCCAGGCAGTGATGGCACTCCCCGAGGAGAACCAGAGGGAAGATGCCCTCATCAGGCTCAACAAAGCAGCCCTGGAGCTGTGCCAGGAACAGAGGCCCCTGCAATCTGACTTCCGGCACCAGGTGTGGTAGGTGCCCCCATGGGAGAGCCGGCCCTGCCTCCCCACTGTGAAGTCCTGCCTGTGGTTCTGGGCTAAGCCCAGATGCAGAAAGGTGCCACAAACATTCTCTGCTCTGGCACCTGCCACAGCAGCCCCCTAGCCTGGAGCATTTCCAGCAGATGGAGCTCCCCGTCTCTTTCCCACCTTCCTGCCTTCCTGCCTCAATGGAGCTCCCCGTCTCTTTCCCACCTTTCCCTGCCTTCCTGCCTCAATGAGCAGACGAATGGGCCGAGGAGGAACCGGAAAGCAGTGAGAAGAGGAGCATAGTGGGAATCCCTGGGTGGCTCAGCGGTTTGGCGCCTGCCTTTGGCCCAGGGCACGATCCTGGAGTCCCGGGATCGAGTCCCTCATCGGACTCCCGGCATGGAGCCTGCTTCTCCCTCTCCCTCTGCCTGTGTCTCTGCCTCTCTCTCTCTCTCTCTCTCTCTCTCTCTCTCTGTGTCTATCATAAATAAATAAATCTTAAAAAAAAAAAAAAGAGGAGCATAGTGAGACCATGAAAAGCCTCACATCTCCTTTGGAACTTGCTTGGCTATGCATGGGTGCCTTCAGTTGGTGGGGGTTGGGGAGGTGCTCAGGGAATCGCAAGTTCCCCCACTTTTGTCTTGCTGCACCCAAGGCTAGCCAGGGTCTCAAGCTGGACCCTAGACTGACCTAACCCTCGTCCTAGGCCACTCTTTCCCGGCTGTTGTCCCAGGGAAGCCAGATCCATATCCGAGCGCCAGCACAGGTGCTGGTGAGGCTGCTGGCTGGACCGGGCATGGCCTCTCTATGGCAGCCCCTGGGACCCATGTCTTAGAAGGGAAGGACCCATGGCTCCACATGTTCAAGGGCAAACGAGGGGTGACGGCTTTCTCCAGCATGCCTTGCTCTCTAGTTTGCAGCTGTGGCGGGATGTGATCGATGGCCTGGTGAGCCATTCCCTGTGGCTGAGGGCTCTGCTAGGTCTGCCCGAGAAAGAGACCATCTATTTGGACATGCCAGAAGAGCAAGGTCAGAATGCAGCCATGCACCACGTAGCTTCCCCACCCCTCCACCCAGCGGGCCGTGTGCTTCAGCCGTCAGCCATCCACGCCCTTCTGGTGGGACCTCTGTCAGGTTGACCAATGGAGTAGGCCCTGCTACCCTTCTGTCTACTGCTAGGATTTGGGATCCAGAAGTGACCTGAGCGACCACCTTCATTCAGTGCCCTGGTTTTATAGGTGGAGTCTCAGAGAGGTTGAATGACTTGCCTGTGCCATAGATGGGGCAGTGGTGGAGTGGGGACTGGAACCAGGCTTCGCACCCCTGCCCCACAGTCCTGTTCCATAACATCATTTGTCTCAGCCAGTGGCTCTTCACTCGTCTGGCTCTTCTGACCCTGCCTGTGGGGTCACTGAGGCCAGGTCATGCTGTCTTCCATTCACCTCCCTTAGATCAAAAGTCCCCTCCTTTTGTGGAAGCGAAAGCGACTGCCTCGAAACTTGGGAAGGAAGAGCGGAAAGGGACAGCCCAGGAAAAGAAGCAGCTGGGAATCAGAGAGAAAGAGGACAAAAAATCAGCCAAGTTGCCAGGGAAAGAGGCATGTGGGGACCTAATGTGGGCCTCAGGTGGGGCTGTGGCAGGTGGGCGGTCCTCTAGCATGATGTCCTGGCTCTCCGAGTAAGCTGCTCTGCAGAAAGCCTGGATTTCCCTGGACCTCCCCCAGGAGCTCCTGAAGGCTGTGTGTGTCTCTGGCTCTCTCAACAGGACCGTTCAAACAGTAAGAAGCACAAGGCAAAGGATGACAAGAAACCAATGAAATCTTCAAGTCGAGACAGGCTTTCCTTGGAAGACCCTGCCCCTGACAGCACTACCACTTCTCAGGAACCCATAGATCCCCTGGTCATGGAGAAATACACCAAGAGGCTGCACACGGAGGTGAGGGCACAAGCCCTGCACCCAACCCTCCCCTTGCGCATGCCTGCTCTGCAGGCCTTCCTCCCCTCCCTCATTCATCCCACTTATTCCATGAACAATGAATGCCTGGTGTGCCGTGATGGAAGATGGAAACAGAGCTGCCCTTGTGAAGGGCATCCTAGTGTACAAGACCTCATGCCTAAGTGACACGCCCAGTATGCTACAAGGCAAACACTCTGGGAGGAAGAGAGATAACCCAGGGCTGGGGGAGGAAGGGGGCGGGAAGGCTGGCTGGGGCAGGTGAACCTCACTGAGAAGGTGATATCAAACAGACTCCAAGGGAGGTGAGGGATGCCCATGTGGCCATCGAAGAAGTGTACCTTTGACAGAGGGGGCAGCTAATGCAGGGGAGAGAGTGGACCAGGAGGACAGAGGGCAGAGAGGCCACCGAAAGGGAGCAAGCTGCAGATAGGTGGGGCTTTGCAGGCAATTGCAGGGACTTGAGGCTTTTCTGAGTCAAAAGGAGAAATCCACAGGGGTTTGAATTTTGAGGAGTGACATAGTCTGTGTTAGGCTTTGGAAGATCACTCTGGCTGTGGTTTGGAAAACAGACCAGAGGAACAGAGCAGAAGCCCCTCCTCCCTTCCTGCTGTTTCCACTTTCTCTGCATTAGGTGCATCTTGGCAAATGGGTCCCTTGGGGGAACCACCAAGTAGAGTCTTGGGCCGCAGGGGAGAGACTTCATACTGTATATTCTAAGCTGGAAGTCCTTAGAGATTCACCCAGGTATTGTTATTGCTTTGGAGGGAAGGTCCGCAAAGTCACATTCGATTGTCACCACGTGTAATGGCAGTGCTTCGTCTTCCTCTGGCGTTGGTGGCTAGATAGCTGGAATTGCGTCATGTACATTGTGGTAACGCTCCGGATCGCATTTGCTCAGATGTTCCATTTGCTGCTGGTGACATCATGGCGATTTCTAAAGGTTGATGGGGTTTAAAAAGTAATCCTAGGGCTCTCTGAAATGAAGAAGCAGCTTGCCAAGGCTCATGTGGTCCAGCCCACATGGTCTAGTCTCAGAGGGCATGGTCCCAGAGACATTTCAATATGTGATCTTAACTGGAAGGAAATCTGGACCTTGGATGGCCAGCATGGAACTGGACCACCCCAAGGGGTAAATGGGCTCCAGAATTACCCTTTAACCACTCCAGGCTTTAGTGCCCCCACATGTCCAAGGGCCTGCTGCAGGATTATTTCTCCAAACTGTTGGAAAAATAAAACTATCTGTAAAAACAAAGGTTCTAAAAAATAAAAAAATAATTTAAAAAAAGGTTCTACAGACACTCTGCAGGTTTGGTTTGACCCCTTCTGTCCTGGTGTAAACATGTCCACCCTCATAGCATGCTGTGTGCTCACTGGTGTAGGTGCTTTCCATAGAGCAAATCTTGCCTGTGATTTCATCCCATTCTTCCAGGTCTACGGGCTGCTGGACACCCTAGTGACTGACCTGATGGTCCTGGCTGATGAGCTCAGACCCATAAAGAATGTCGAGGAGACTTTGCGTCTTTGTACCTGACTCATGTGTCCAAGGGGCCTTCTGGGAAACTGGTTAATGAACAAATCAATAAAGAACCTTTAGGTTCCCACCGCTTCCTTTAGGCCTTCATGTCTTGAATGTTGGATTTTGATCCTGCCTCAGCTTCCCCTCCTCCAGTTCCTGGAGCCATCCCACAGGTGGAAGGAGAAACACGTTTACCTGAAAGGCGATGTGTAAGATGACGAGTAGAAAAACAGGTTGTTATCAGGACAAGGAATGAATCAGGTGACTGGACAGACATCAGCATCACCCTGCCTCTCACCTTTCTTGGCCCACAGTTTTGGGGTTACGCTTCCTGGAACCAGGTCTTCCCCAGGTGTGATCAAAAGAATGACCAAGTGTGAGATCAGGAGAACTGGACCCAGTGGGGCCTGGCTCCCTGAGATCCTCGCACTTTGGCTGGGTCAAGGCCCAGCTGCAGTCCCTGGGGATCATGTTCACTACACTGTCAAACCCTAGAGGCCAGATCCCTGTGTCCTCGGCAGCCTGTCTCATCCCTTCCTCCTGTCAGACCAGCTGGCCCCCCTGGACCACTTTTTGCCTTAAAAACAGCTCTGGACATTATGCTCGCCCTCCCCCCCCCCCCCCCCCCCCCCCGCTTAGAGAAATGGGAAGTGGACAAGGGGTGGCTCCTGGAAAGGAAAGTACTGTCAGCTTAGACTTAGTACCTGAATGGCTTTCTGTCCAAAATCATCATTCAGGGCCAGACCTCGTGCCGAGTGGCCTCTAAGCTCCCAGAGTTTGAAGAGCAACTTTGCTAATGCTGGGCTCACCACCTTAAGTGCTAGTGGAGCAGAGGTGTGGGTGGGAGATGGGGTAGTGGCCACAACCTCCCACCTGCTTGGTTTTGTATTTGGTGCTTCAGATAAGGACCTCGTGGGCCTCAGCATCCTCCAGTAGAGAGTGGGAAGAGTTTTGGAGAGAGCAGGTCACTCTGTTCCTCAGAGAGGCAGAGAGAGGCAGAGAGGGGCATCTAGCTGGAGCCTGGATGCCCCCTTCAGGGTGGCTGAGGGGGCCAGCTGGAGCCCACAGAAAGCAACTCCACCAAAGGGTCAGCCCCTGGGAATGGTCTTCCTGGCCCAGCAGAGATGGGTCCCCCCCACCCCCACCCTATTTCCTGTTGAGGCAGGGGAAGGGTTAACTCCCTGCGGGGTGGGAGTGGGCTAGCAGCCCTGGCTCTCAGAAAACATATTTCCTGGGGAGAGCTAGCCAGTCAGCCAGCCAGCCGGCAGGCGTCCCCCCTGACGTTGCCGCCTGCCCAGCCAGCAGGAAGGGGTTAACAAGCCTTGCGCTTCCTCCTGTGTCCTGTTACTGCTGAGGCAGACCTGCCCGGCCAGCTGAGCAACTTTCCTCCGAGTGCTGCCTGCCTGCAGGCTGAGCGTCTAAGACAAGCAAGCTAGAGGCAGAGCTGCAGCCCATTCTGGGGACCCTGCTGCCACCCTTCCGAGGGGTCTGCACCTCCTAGGAGAGGGTGGGCATCTACAGGACGAGGGTCCTTGGTGGATGGCTCTGGGGTCACTCTTGAGGCTGTACTGTCCCCCTGCTGCGCGGGTCGGGTCGGAAGGTCACTGCAGAGGCTGCTCGTGGTCCCAGGGCTGGGGCCAAGGGAGCCTGCACCAGAGGTAAGCTGGCCCCTCCCTGGCAGCGGTGGTACCTCTCATGGAAGGCTTGGGGCTTAGTCTTCATCCCAGGTCCAAGGGAGAGGGGTGAGGAGGAAAGTAGAGGATCCCAGAGGCTTCCTGCCTGCAGCCCCGGGGAAGCAGGACTCGGGGGGCTGCCTCCCCACCCTGAAACCCGCATCTTTGGTGGCATCCTCCCACAGAGTCCCATCCTCCTCTGCCCACCCGTCCTCCTTAGCCCCACCCCGCATTGCATCTCCAGCCTCAGGGCAACCCCCACCCCATTCCAGGACCCCAGGACACAGCCACCTCAGGGCTGACTTAAGCTTAGAGTTCTAGCTCACACTTGTCCCTGCGCCTCCCTCTAGCAAGAGTTACTCCCTCTCCCTCTGCCCCCTGCCCCGGGGCTCCCTCTGACCCCAACGGGGCAGGGGCTGGGGCTGGGGCTGCCTCAGCAGACCGGGGGCTCTGCAGGCTGGTGGCACACACACACTTTGGACAAACTCTTGCACGTGACAACATATCTAGGCTCTCCCCTTGTCCCTGAATCCCCACTCTAGGGATGCCATCCACTTCCTGAGCCCTGACAGTTTCCCTCCCCAGTCCTGGCGCCCATCTCTCCTTTCCCCCTCACCCCCTGAAAGTTCTCCTTGGCACCCACCCTTTATAAAGGAGAGAGCGGATACTTGTGCCACATGGCCTGCCCCCCCCCAGCCCGCCCCTCCCCACTCTGCTCCATACCCGCCCGCCTCCTCCTCCCCCATATCTCGGAATAAGCCTCTCAGGCTCTGCCTTCTCAGTGTCCTTCCCTCCACCTGACAGGTCTGGCTCAAGGTCACTGCAGTAATTCCATACCCGCCCGCCCGGGCCTGCCGCTGCCGCCACTGGCTGCTGGGTTTCTGTTTCACTCCCTTTTATTTCTGGGCATATTGTGTTCGATAAAACCCTGGGCTTGTAACACCGCTGGCAGGGCTCCCAGCTGCTCCCTCCCGTGTTCCTTCCTTTTCTCCTCCCTCCCTTCAGAGCTCCCCGGGCCTCACCCTGCCCCCTCGTCCTCCCCACCTTGTCCCTTCTAACTTTAGGGGAGGGAAGTCCAGGCATCTCCCTGGGGCTTCTGATGCCTCCCTTCCCCCAGTTCCAGGGAAGGTGTGCAGAGAAGGCTCCTCCGCTCCCCCTCCTAGAAGGAAAGTCCAGGCAGGGCAGCAGGGTCCGCACGGAGGGCCCCTCCCACTACCCCAGGCTTGGCGGGAGGGCTGGGGAAGCCAGGCTCTGGCAGGGTGGCTGGTGGAGTCAGGATGCCTGACTGGTTCTGCTGGTTTCTGTGGCCAGCACTGGGAGGGGCGGGCACTCCGGGCGGGCTGTGGGGCACAATTATTTCTCATCTTGATTCTTGCCACCCGCCAGCCCACCAGTTGGGGAGGTAAAGACAGATCTGAGTCACCAGTGAGGGGGAGGGCAGGAGTTAAACAAGTGTTGGCTGTGGTATCCCCACAGAAGGCCTGCCAGGCTGGACGGACAGACAGCAGACAGAAGGTAGGCAGCCTTTCAGCCAGCATTCCATCTCCCTGGAGTCCCACGGGATCACCTCCTCTGGGCCCAAGCTCTCCCAGGCACCTGGGCCCCGAAGAAGCCTGCCAAGGCCTGCTGGCTGCTTTGAACTGAGCCCAGGGTTGGCAGGGCTGGGGGGAGGGCAAGTCCAGATGGGGGAGGGCAGGATGAGCAGCTTCTGACTCCTGCTGAGGCCCAGGGCAGAGACCGGAGGCCAGGGCGAGGTGGGGGGGGAGGCACAATCTCCATGGGTGGTGGTATTGGTGGGGGTTCACGGGTGGTGTGGAGGTTCTGGGGGTCTAGCGTGTGTGTGTGTGTGTGTGTGTGTGTGTGTGTGTGTGTACCCATACCAGAGGAACAGCCATGGTAGGGGATTCTGGTGTTGGTTTCTGGTGGGGCCCTGGGAGAACCTCTTTCTGTCTTGAACCTGGGTTTGCCTTCCCCAGATGGCCTGGTCCTGAAGCTGTGGAGAGGCCAGCGGGCTGACTCTAGTTCCCCCTCAGATTTGGGGTGCTCAAACCGGCCTTGCCTTCAGGGAGCTTACATTCTAGCTGAGATGGAACCAAAACAATAAAGCAATCATATGAATTAACGACAAAACCAGTAACCCTGACAATAAGTATCAGATTCGTCTTCTGGAGACCTAGGTGTTTAGTCCCAGCTCGGCCACCTACACGCCGTGTGACTGTGGGCAGGCTGCATCCCATCCCTGACTTCAGTACTCTTGTGTGTACCACAGAGGTGGCAGGGGCTAGGTCTCTTCGAGAGGCAGGCCCTGCTTCCTGCCTCATACTCCTCTCTGGGCCTCTGGCCTCGCCCAAGTATTCCCTTTGAGCTACCCTTCGTCACCCTGCAGCTTCATCTTCCCTTCAGATCTCTGAACATCACCTCCACTGGGAAGTCTCCCCTGATTTTCCCAGCTTGGGTACTCCTGTATATGCCCATGCTTGATTGAATCGTCATCTGTGCCCCTGGAACTGGACTTGTGTTGGCCAGGACTTGTGCTCTGTGCTCAGCACAGTGTTGGGCTCAGAGAAGGCCCCAGGAACTAGGTGTTGAATGAATGAAGGTGTACAAACTAACGCTGTGAGAAATGGGGAGAGTGGGGACCGAGGACCAGAAAGAATGGGTGCTACGCTAGATCCCGATAACGAAGCAGGAGCAGGGTAAGCAGGCATCCCTGGGGGTCACTTTTGTGTCTCTCGCTAAGGGCAAGGTGGGTGTGTCCGAGGTAGCTCCTGGCTCACACCAGCTCCGTGAACCTCCTTTCCCCATCTCTGAACGGAGATAATAAGCTCGTCTTTGTAGTGTGACTGTGACAAGCAGCGTGCATGTGAGGCTAGACATGCCTTCTGAATAATATGTAAAATAAGAAAAATAAAAATAAGTGCCTGCCAGCGGTGGCTCCTGGCCGGTGGGGACCTGTGGCCAGGCCTTCCGTTGGTGGCTGAGTGGCTGTCAAGGGGGGCCACTGCCCCTGAGTTCTGTCCCTCTCTCCTGCAGACCCATGTGGAACCCGAGGACGCGGCCACCCCACTGAGAGTGTGGGGGCCCACCCCTGGAGATCGTGACCTCGAGACGGTGGCCCTCGGCCCTCCACCTCCAGCGGGGGCAGGGGCCGCCCACCTCCAAGTCCCCAGCCATGACGACCTCCGCGCTGCGGCGCCAGGTGAAGAACATTGTGCACAACTACTCGGAGGCAGAGATTAAGGTGCGAGAGGCCACCAGCAATGACCCGTGGGGCCCTCCCAGCTCGCTCATGTCGGAAATCGCCGACCTGACCTTTAACACGGTGGCCTTCGCCGAGGTCATGGGCATGCTGTGGCGGCGGCTGAATGACAGCGGCAAGAACTGGCGGCACGTGTACAAGGCGCTGACGCTGCTGGACTACCTGCTCAAGACGGGCTCCGAGCGGGTGGCCCACCAGTGCCGCGAGAACCTCTACACCATCCAGACGCTCAAGGACTTCCAGTACATCGACCGCGACGGCAAGGACCAGGGCGTCAACGTGCGCGAGAAGGTCAAGCAGGTGATGGCCTTGCTCAAGGACGAGGAGCGCCTCCGGCAGGAGCGCACCCACGCCCTCAAGACCAAGGAGCGCATGGCGCTGGAGGGCACGGGCATTGGCAGCGGGCAGCTGGGGCTCGGCCGCTCTCGAGGTTCCCCGTCCTCCTACAACTGTGAGTGAGCCCCAGGGCCGGGGGGGGGTGCGGCCCTGAGTGCTGGGGGGTCCCGAGCATTCAGGGAGATGAGGTGGGGAATGGAGCCCGGGAGGCACACCTGCCTGGCGGAGCAGGTGGGCCGCAAATTAGCGCAGACCACAGCGGGATCCTAAGGACTCCTCGGGGAGCTGTCCAGCGGCAGGCCGGGGCCAGGGTGGCAGATGCACAGGCTCCGCAGTCCCCCAGCGGGGTCGCCTTCGGCACCTTTCCAGCTGAGCAATCTAGACGGCCGCCTCTCTGAATCTCCGCTTCCTCATCTATGAAGTAGGGAGAATCTTATCTGCTCCAGTTGTTGGATGTGAGAATTAGGTGAGGCCAGGCCTAGGAATACCCTTAGCCCAGACACATGGTACAGGGCGCTCCATCGGGGCATCCCTCGTGACTCCCTGCTCGAGGGCACTGTCCTTGAAAATGCGGGTGGCTGCAGAGCTCTTCTTGACTCTCCTCCTTGCCCCACTGTGGGCATCCTGGAGCTGAGGGGTACTCAGGAGGGGCCTCAGTTCATAAAGCCCTAGAGGGTGTGCTGGGGGCCTTGAGAGCTGTGACCCTGACTGCCTGGAACCTCTCATGTTCCTACCTTACTTGATCCCTGGTAGGACGGGACCCCACTGGAAGAGTGCAGGAGCTGGAGCAGGGGACCTGGCTTCAAGTCTTACCACAGGACCCTGGCCAGGCAACCCTGGGCTCTTGGTGTGTCTGTAAAGGAGGGACTGGAGACTCTGCTGGGGGTGGAATGGGAAGACACACAAAGCACTGGGCAGCATGCTGCCTGGCCCCCTAGAGCCCTCAGCTGCCAGTTGTTTCCTTCCTCCTCTGTTTCCCTCTCTGAGCTTTAGCTTCCTGATGAGGCAGGGGGAGGGGAGTGGCACGGGCACCTCTGTGGTTAAAGAAGCCACAATGGTCGGTGGTCGTTGCAGCCTCCTCATCATCCCCCCGCTACACCTCCGACTTGGAGCAGGCCCGGCCCCAGACATCAGGAGAAGAGGAGCTGCAGCTGCAGCTGGCTCTAGCCATGAGCCGGGAGGAGGCTGAGAAGGTAAGGCACCTGGGGCACAGCTAGGCGTGGCACTGGGGGTGAGGGGAGCCTGGAGGGAGGCAGGAAAGGTGCCCTGATGCCCCACACCCTTGACTCCTAGGGTCCTCCCTTCTGGGCCCCCAGACCCCAGTCCAGCTCCCAAGGACAGCATAGGGCCTGTCCTTGTGCCCGCGAGTGTTTTGGCAGGGATTGCCTCCCTGCTTCCAGTCTCCTCTGGCTGGGCCTAGAAAGGGCACCCATACCTAGTGGGTTGAGGGTATGTGTGTGTCTTCCAGGCGCACTGTGGGAAGTAGTGAGTGTGCTGGGAGACACCGAGACTCACTGCCCCCACAACCCCTGCCACCAGCTGTCCTTCTAGGGGGCAGGGATAGCCCCTCTGACATCATCTTCTCTGCCATCACTTCTTTGGATCCATGTAGGATGGGCAGGAAGCAGCTGGGCCTCACACAGCAGGACATGGGGGCACTCAGGGGACCCAGAAGAAAAGGATTAATCTCCTGGATTTTGAAACTGGTCGCAAATCCAGGCAGGGAGAAAGCCACATTCACCTTGCTGCCTGGAAGCAGGCTGCTCACACCCACTAGCGTGGGCACTTCTCTCTCCCCTTGGGAGTGGGAGCACTGGGCCCTGTTCACTCCTGTCTCCCCCCCTCACAGCCGGTTCCCCCAGCCTCCCACAGGGATGAGGATCTGCAGCTGCAGCTGGCTTTGCGTCTGAGCCGGCAGGAGCATGAGAAGGTAGCGGCTGAGCCTCCTGTGCTGGTGCAGGTGTAGGTGCTGGTGCAGGTGCTGGGACAGGTGCAGGTGCTAGGGCAGGTGCTGGTGCAGGTGTTGGTGCAGGTGCTGGTACAGGTGCTACATAGGCACTAACCAGGCTCCTCCTGCTTCACCCAGTGGTCCTGCCATGCCTAACCTCTCTCACCCACTCTTCTCAACTCCAGCTCCAGTCCTCCCAAGTCCAGCCTGGGCCGCTCATGCTGTCCTCACCCCTCTTGCCTTCTGCAGGAGGTGAGGTCCTGGCGGGGAGATGACTCCCCTGTAGCCAATGGCGCTGGGGCCGCTGTCCATCGTTGGCAAGACAAAGAGCCAGAGAGAGAAGAGAGAAAGGAGGAGGAGAAGCTGAAAACCAGCCAGGTAGGGAGGGGCTGCGGTGCATGGACTGAGCCTGTGACACAAACCAGATTGGTATCCGTAGCAGTTAGAACCCCACTTTGTATATAATAAGCGCTGTTTAAGCATTTATTCAACAAGAATGGGAGTGGAAGGGGTGCGGTAGCCCCCAGTTCCAGACCGCATGGGCTGATGCCTGAGCAAAGTGGGATGCAAAGAATCCTGATCTGAGGTCCCTGGACTTGGGTTCTGGATTTGCTGTCACTCTGACTTGGGCATATCACTATGGTGGCCTTCGTTTCCTTTTGTTGGACAGCTCCACCTCTCGTATTCTAGGGTGATGTGATGCTGTGGATCTAGTTGAGGGGGAAGCGGGCTCAGGCACATGGTCCAGACAATATCTTGGGCTCATACACATACTTTCCAAAAATACGGGGGTGGGTAGCTACTTGGAACAAAGCCATCCTCCAAAGCAGTGTATGCTATCCCTAGGATGTCTCTGTCTCCTTTCTGCCATGTTCAACAGTGGCTAATTTCTGACCTAGGAAGGCAGACTTGTCATAAAATCTGTCTTCTACCACCAGTGGGTGGAGGATCAGGACAACTGAGGAAGGGGTCAGGCAGGCCTGGGTTTATCCCAGCTCTGCCTCTCCCCAACTGTGCAACTTCATGCAAAGCATCTCCCCTCTCGGGGCCTCAGCTGATGCATCTGTAAAATGGGCACACCACTACCTGTAATATCTACTGCACAGGGTTGTTATGAAAGTCAGGTACTAAATGGATGAGGAACCATTTTATAAACTGCAAAGCACTGTACAGAGGCGAGGATCATTAGCAGATGTTTGTAAGTGAACAAAGGAGAGAATGAGCTGGACTGAGGAAGATAGGCCAGGGACCGCCCTTCCTCTGGTCTCACCCACTTCTGAGCCATGGCTGCCTCTCCCACTCCACAGTCCTCCGTCCTGGACTTGGCAGACATCTTCGCACCCACCCCGGCCCCGCCCTCCACTCACTGCTCCGCTGACCCATGGGACATCCCAGGTGGGCACGCAGGGCTGCAAGAGGTTTCCAGGCTGGTCCCAGAAAGTCCCTTCCTTTCCACCACTTGCTGGCACCCCCTCCCCATAGCTAGGGGCCACTGGGCAAGTCGTCACTTACCCCTCTGAACCTCAGCTTTCTCTGGGACATGGGGTTGTAGTAAGGGATGGGAGAGAATGTCTGAAGAGCCCAGCTCATGGAAAACACAAGAGATGGTTCTCTCGTTTCCCCTGGTCACCCTGGCTTTCCTGTCCCAGCCCATCCCTGACTGGGAAGTGGCCTGATCTGCCCATGCCTGGGAGTCCACGCTCCTGGCACAACTTGCTCAATATGGGCTCCAGCTTGCTGGGTGGGTCCTGAATCAACATCCCATCTGTGAAATGGGACCCTTGCATCCCAACTTGGTCTGGGTAACTGGGAAGGGCCCTGGACTGGGTGTAAAGGTTGGCCTGAGGTCATGTCTGTGCTGTTCCTGTTTTAGGTCTCAGGCCGAACACAGAGCCCAGTGGCTCCTCCTGGGGACCTTCTGCAGACCCCTGGTCTCCTGTCCCTTCAGGAAGCACCCTGTCCAGAAGCCAGCCCTGGGACTTGCACCCTATGCTCTCCTCCTCTGAGCCCTGGGGCCGGACCCCAGTGCTGCCTGCCAGACCCCCTTCCACAGACCTCTGGGCACAGAACTCCCCCCATCACAAGCTCCCCAGCACTGGGGCTGACCCTTGGGGGGCCTCAGGGGAGACCTCCAATGCACCTGGTAAGCAGAGGGCCAGACAGTGTGGGTGAGGCGCTGGAGGACTTCTGGGTCCCCTCCCTCCAGTGCCAAGGGGCAGCATGTCCTGTCTATGTTAAGAGGGCTGCTTGCCCGAAAGGGGTCAGACCAGTGACTGCACACCCACCTTTTTGCCAACCTACCTCCTCCCCCTCTTCTTCCTTGGCCAGCTCTAGGTGGTACCTCACCCTTTGACCCATTTGCCAAACCTCCAGGACCCACAGAGACCAAGGAGGCGCCAGAGTGTGCCCAGGCCCTGCCCTCTGGGAAGCCCAGCAGTCCTGTGGGTAAGGAGGCAGGGGATGACACAGCTCTGGGGAATGAGGGGCCCACCCAGAGGTGACCTCTGTCCTCTCTTCCCACAGAGTGACCATTCCCTCTCCCTACCAATGCGGTCTATCTCTGTTCCAGAGCTGGACCTGTTTGGAGACCCCATCCCCAGTTCCAAGCAAAATGGCACCAAGGAGCCAGACGCCTTTGACCTGGGTGCACTGGGGGAAGTGCTAACCCAGCCCAGCAAGGAGGCCCGAGCATGCCGGACCCCTGAGTCTTTCCTGGGCCCTTCAGCCTCCTCTTTGGTCAACCTTGACTCATTAGTCAAGGCGCCCCAGGCTGCAAAGACCCGAAACCCCTTCCTGACAGGTAGGACACTCTCCCGTGTCCCCGCTGGGTCTCCACACTGCGGGCCCCCTGCTTTTCTCCATCACTCCTTTCAGAGCCCAGCTCCTGCCCTAAAAATCTTCTCTAAAAATGTACTCTTCTCCATCCCTGAGACCCCAGATCTTGCCTCCCCCTCCATCTAGGGCTGTGCGCCCTGGCGCGCTCCAAGCTCCCCACCCGCTCTCGCCCCGCAGGTCTCAGCGCTCCATCCGCCACCAACCCGTTCGGCGGGGGCGAGCAGGGCAGGCCGACCCTGAATCAGATGCGCACCGGGTCGCCGGCGCTGGGCTTTCCCGCCAGCGGGCCAGTCGGGGCGCCCTTGGGCTCCATGACCTACAGCGCCTCCCTGCCCCTCCCGCTCAGCAGCGTGCCGGCCGGCGTGACCCTCCCCGCCTCGGTCAGCGTCTTCCCGCAGGCGGGAGCCTTCACGCCGCCGCCCGCCAGCCTGCCGCAGCCGCTGCTGCCCACGTCGGGCTCCGCGGGGCCGCTCCAGCCACCCCCGCAGGCGGGCGGCACCAACCCCTTCCTCTGAGCGCAGCCCCGCCCCGCACGCCCGGGCCGGCGCCTGCGCCCGCGCCTGGCACGAGGACCCGCCCCCGGGGCGGGGCGGGGACGGGGCGGGGGGCGGGGCGGGGCGGGGCTGCCACCCAGGCCCCGCCCCGGGGAGCCCGGACCGGCTGAGGCTCCGCCCCCCGGCCGGCCCGGGCGCCCCGCCCCTCCGCAGCTCCTGGAGCTTGAGACCGACGCGGTCCCGGGGCCGAGACCACGCCCGCGTGGTGGGGACTGGAGCCCGCTTCCTCGGCTCCACCAAGTGGACTTCTTGCGAGGCGTGGCGGCTGGACCAGGACCACAGCGCGAATCGCCGGCTGCGGCGGAAACAAGTGCTCCACGGTGTGGGGCACAGAGATGCTCCCACTTGCCGTACATCCCACAGCCTGGCACCTTCGCTTCCAGACGCTCCCCAAGCTCTCACTCGTTCTCTCATTTCACTTTACCACGGATCAGCCCTGGGGATGATCTAATGGCAGGGAACAATAGACAGTTGTTCCCATTCGTTGCCGCTCATTCTGTGCTAAGCACTTTAGACAGATTATTTAATTTAACCCTTGCAACAACCCTCTGAGGTAGATAATACTATTCCCACTCAAGACTGCCTACATAATTGGTGGGGCCTAGTGCGAAATGAAGAGGCAGGGCCCTTCTTCCAAATTAAGAATTTCAAAATGAGGCAGCAGAGCATTAAACCAAGTGCATAGCCCTTGGTCCTGCTGTCATGTTATAGGTGAGGAAGCAGGCTCAGAGAGGTTAAGTGGCATGCTCAAAGTCACAAAGCTAGCACGGATTGGGACTGGGATTCAGAAAATCTGACTCCACAGCCTTGTGCTCCCAGGCTGGGCCCCCGGTTTCATTGACAAATATTGACCTGCAGCGACCAAAGTGTTCCACTCACCGGGGAGGAATCCAAGAATTGCTAAGCCCACAACCTCCAGGAACTCAGAACTCAGTGGGGAGACAAAACCGGTACTGGAACCCTTGTGCTCCTTGTTTTACTGAGTCACTTTAAATCTGGCTCTACCCTTTCCCCGCCCCCTTCCTTGGTTGCCAGGGCAAGAAATTCTATCTCAGGCCTGCTGAGAGAGCCTGACCCCTTCTGGGGGCTTATGTAGGGTCTGAGAAACAAAGGTAAGGGGGCAGGGCCCAGTACCTTATCCTAGGGCCACCGTGAACCCTCCATTCCTTTTCTTCCACCACTGGACACTAATTTGTCCTCAGGGCTCAGACTCTGGCCCTGTAGTAGCCCTGCTCCCAGCCCCCACTCCCTTCTGGGTCACTGAGGGAAAATAGCCTTCTATAGAGCAGGAACGCCAACGTGGAGGGAGGATACGATGCTGTTCTCTTTCTTAAGTGGAAGGAGGATGTGGCAAAAGGAGCTACTTTGGTTTGGGTTTTTTTTTTTTTTTCCTTTTTTTTTTGGAAGGAGGGAGTCCTACTATGGCTGTTACAGGCAGGATCGACAAGAGCTCCTACTTAGGAATTAGACCAACAGAGCTCACAACTCTGCTCCAAGATTTGCACTCAATAATAATAATAATAATCATCATCATCATCACTTAGTAATAAGTGGTTATGCTCCCTGACCTTGAGTAAATTACTTAACCTCTCTATGACTCTGCCTCCATTTCCTTACTTGTCAAGTGGGAACAAGAGTTCCTTCCTTAGGAGGTTGCTATGTGGCTCCTCCCACGCAGTGTCCTTTTGGCCCAGGGCCCACCCTCTTCAGAGACTCCAGTGAGCAATGAGCCCGTCATACCCTCATTCCTGGTCTTGCCAGGCAGCACCCAGAGTCCAGCCCCCGTCTGTCTTCTGTCACACACACCTGGGAGGTTTCCATCCTTCCTGGTAGCTCACCCACCGGTCACCCTTCCCCTACCTGGGCCCTCCTCTTCTAAGCTGGCTCTCCCTTGTGGACTTTGATTTTCTGAGGACCCCCAAGGGATGCTGCTTGACCCCCACAAAGAAGAGGTGGGTAGCCTTATTTCCCCATAGCTCCTTCTGGACCATTTTCCTCCTCTAAGAGCCTCCTTCTTGGAGGCTGGAGCCCCTGGGTTGTCCTGCCTCCTCTGCCTGGGGCTGTGCTCCACCTCATTCTCACCATGCTTGCCATCTTGGCTCACAATCTCCTCACCCAGATCTTCCTTAACCCCACCTGACTCCATTAATCAGAAAGATGACCATGACCTCTCAGCTACCCTTACCCATGGTCACACTTTTGGGCTCGTCATCACCCAAATTCCTTCACATTCCAGGCAGGCTTCCTGTTCTCTGATCTTAATCTCATTCCTTCCAGGGAGCATCTACCAGACCCTCCGGCCTGCTGACCTTTCTGCCACCACCCCAACCTTCTCAGAGATCTCTTCTCTCCTTGACGTCATCAATTGCTTTCTGTCAACCAAGTCCTTCTCCTTGATATTTATCATAATTAGCCTCATCTATCTTGAAAGTCTTTCCATCTTTCCCCTCACTTCAAGCACCCATGCCACCTCTCTCTATCCCCTTTCTTTCCCTTCCTCCTGACCCACTCCAGTTGACTTCTGCTGTCAGCCCCACCTCACTTGAACACTGTCTGCCAAGCTCAGCCAATGACTCCCGTGTTGCTGAAGTCATTTGGCCTTTTTTCTGTCCCATCTCACTTGGCTTTTCCAGAATCTGACCATGAGGACCCTTCCTCTTTGCAACTCTCTGTCTGTTTGCCTTTGGGACACCACCCTCTCCTGGTGTTCCCTTGACCCTCTTGTGATTCTCTGTCTGTGTCTTTCATGGGTGTGTTCCTGAGTTCCTTGAGCCCAGACCTGAGCTTGCTCCTCTCATTGCTCCTTGGATGGTCCCTGCCATGCCTGCACTGAACCCTCCCCGCTGCCCCAATTCCTCCTACAAACCTCTCCTCTGTTCCAGAGCCATGTTCTCCCCACACATATATCTCAAGGGCACCTCAAACCAAAATGTCCAAAAATGACCTCTCGAACTCCCACCTGAGCCTCTCCATGCCCCCTCCTCAGCAAATGGCCTCACTGTCCAGCATAAGCCCTACTCTGCAAACCAGTCTTGACATCTTCCTTTCCCTCACTGCCAATCCTGAGGATGTCTTCTCCTCTACAGGCCTCCAGACCCTTCTCACTACTTCCACTTCCACCTGGTGCAAACCTCCACCATCTCCTCTGGGTCCTGCCACAGCCTCCTAACCAATCCTGCTTCTTCCACTCTTGCGCCTTTCCAGCCCATTCTCCACTTAGAAGCCAGAGGGACCTTTCTAAAGTGCAGAGTCACTTCCCTGACCAAAGCCCTTGAACATCTTTGTTCTCTCATCAACAACCAAAACTCCTACTCACAGTTCATGAGTCCCTCCAGGACCTGGACAATTGCCCTCCTCCAAACTCACGTCATCTCCTATGTCTCTTTCCTTTGCTCTCTGCCCTGCAGCCATGCCTGTCTTCCGTAGTTCTTCAGCCCTGACTCACTGCTATGCCCAGGGCCTTTGCCCATCAGTTCCGCCTGTTTCCCCAGCACTCCCCTGACACCCTCTCTCAGGACCCCGTGCTCTCATTCTTCCATGGCTGCTACACAAATGTGATTTCCTCAGGGAAGCCTCTCCTGCGTCGCCTCTCCCACCAGATCAGGTTCCTTGTTTTAGTCATGACACTTCTCACAGTGGGTGGTTGTATATTCGTGTGTGTGTGTGTGTGTGTGTGTGTGTGTGTGTGTTTGTCAGATTAAATTCTGTCTCCTTCAACAGACTGTGTGCAACACAGGGGCAGGAGCCTGGTCTCTCTCCACCCACCATTGTACCTAAGCAGAGCACCTGGCAGGCAGTAGGCACTCAATAAATATTGGCTGAATGTAGTAAATGAGATAAGTGTGGAAAGTATATGATAGGACTCAGAGCTGGCTTGTCGTTATTATTCAGGGAAGCCTCCCTGGAGTGGGTGGGATGTGCCCAGGATCTTTAAATGGAAAGGCAGAGTCAAAGCTCTCTGGCTGGGTGGGCCTGGAGAATGCATGCCTTCTGCTCCAGCCTCGCTTCTCTCTCTCTTAAAAAAAAAAAAAAGTTATTTATTTATTCATAAGAGACACTCACAGAGAGAGGCATAGACATAGGCTCCATGCAGGGAGCCCCATGCAGGCTGGATCCCAGGACCCCGGGATCACGCCCCGAGCGGAAGGCAGGCGCTCCACCACTGAGTCACCCAGGGGTCCCTCCAGCCTCATTTCTCATTTGTACAATGGTCAAGGGTTGGACAAAATGACCTAAGGCTCTGGCATCCAACGGCCCTGACATCCTCCCAGCCCTCCATGTTCTTCTCACGAGGCGTGACTGTCCCGCGGGCAGCCGGTTTAGGTCTAGCGGAGCCCAGCCGGCCCCTTCCGTGCCCAGACCCGGGCCTCCCAAGGCCGCGCTGTCCGGCCTGCGATCCCACGCTCGGCCACCGGGCGGCGCGCGGAGACCAGCCACGCGGCGGCGGGAGGCCCGGCCCGGTGGGTGCCCTGGCCCGCCCCTCGCAGCCTGGGCCTCCCTCCCGGTCCGCAGCGTCCGCGCCTTGGCCGCCAACAGCCATGCTGGGTGCCCGGGCCTGGCTGGGCCGCGGCCTCCTGCTGCCCCGCGCCGCGCGGGGCCTCCCCACCAGCCGCCGGTAAGGGCCGGTGAGTGGGCCGAGCCGCGAGCCCGAGGGGCCCGGGACCGCTTGTCGCATCACGGTGCTGGTCCCCAGCACGCCGCCACCCTTACTGCTCCCGCGACCTGGCCCAGACTGTACCGCCCCCTCTTCCCCAACCCCTCATCCTCCTCACCCCCCACCCGACTCCCCCCCTTCCTGCTGCAGGGCCAGCTCCCCCGGAATTCTCCTGACACCACCTCCGGGAAGCCTTACTTGGACCCCAATGCCAGGCCATGTTCCTTGTCCAGGGGCACCCTGGGCTGACCTGTCCCAATCCTTATGGGTGGAGGGGCCTGTCATTTAGGTCTGCCCTGCAGTGCCAGGTTCCCAGGCTGAGCCCCCTGAGATCTGAGCCAGTTTCTGACTCCCTGGGGGTGCTGGGGGGGTCTGGCCTTATGGAAGGGCCCAGGGGGTGAATGTTGAGTGAGAGGGCCCCCTGTATTGATTTTCCTGTCATTGCCGTCCAGTTCTTGCCCTGTCCAGCCACCAGCAGCAGACAGCCTCCTGCCCAGGTCACTAACCCAGGCCAGCAGAGACACCTGCCAGTGCAGACACCATGGGGAGGGGCTCCGTGAGGGGGAAAGAATGGAGACTGACGTTCCATTCTGCCCATTGTGACTCACTCTGACCTCACAGTCATCATCCTTCCCACCGCCAGGTCCGAGAGGCTGGGGGAGACTAACCTGGCAGGGATCCCCCAATGAGCCACCTTTCTTCACCCCCCCAAAAACAAAAGGGGGAGCACAAAGGCCACGGTCTCCCCCGTGGTTCAGAAAGGTGGGTTAGGCCTGGAGCAGGGGGCTCCAGGAGAGGAGCCAGGGGGCAGGGGGAGTGCTGTGGGCCTCCGTGGTGGGCCTGGGCTGGGGGGAGGCGGGTGGCAAGCTGTCACTGACGCACCTGCCCACGCCAGGGGCAGCTCCTCCCGGGACAAGGACCGCAGTGTGACAGTCAGCAGTTCAGTACCCATGCCTATTGGAGGGAAGGGAAGCCGGACCAACTGCTCCCCATCTGTACCCCAGAAGGTCCCCAACCGCCTGATCAATGAGAAGTCACCGTACCTCCTGCAACATGCCTACAACCCTGTGGACTGGTGAGTACCACTCCTGAAGCTCTTCCCTCCCCGACCTCCTAAACCTCCCTCTCCCTGCCCCCCTCCCTCTGGGGGTATCAGAGCTCTCAGCCCCTCCTACACCCCCCTACTCCTACCCCTCTCTCTCTGGGGGCAGATGGGGTCTCAACCCCTCCTACACCCCCTTACTCCTACCCCCCCCTCTGGGGGCAGCTGAGCTCTCAGCCCCTCCTACACCCCTTCTCCCCCACCCTCACCCCCATCCTGGGGTCAGCCAGTGAAGCCCAACCCTGCCGGCTTAGGTACCCCTGGGGACAGGAAGCTTTTGACAAGGCCAGGAAAGAAAACAAGCCAATTTTCCTTTCAGGTAAGGTACCCCCCTTCCCTGGGATGGGAGGAAGGGGGCAGTAGTGGACAGGGGAAGGGTCCTCTGGGCCTGGAGCCTCCCAGGAAACCTCTAACCAATCACTGGTTATCACCACCACCACCACCGGTCCACCGTGGCCCCGTTCCAGTGGGATACTCCACCTGTCACTGGTGCCACATGATGGAGGAGGAATCCTTCCAGAATGAGGAGATTGGCCGCCTGCTCAATGAGGACTTTGTCAGCGTGAAGGTAGACCGAGAGGAGAGGCCAGATGTGGACAAGGTGTACATGACCTTCGTGCAAGTAAGTAGTCTTCCCCATATGGGGGTGGGGGTGGTCTGAGCACAGGGGGCCGCTCCCCTCACCCTCGTCCTCTCTCTGCCAGGCCACCAGCAGTGGTGGGGGCTGGCCGATGAATGTGTGGTTGACTCCCAACCTCCAGCCCTTTGTGGGGGGCACCTACTTTCCCCCCGAGGATGGCTTGACCCGAGTTGGCTTCCGCACAGTGTTGCTGAGGATACGGGAGCAGGTGGGTGTGCTCCCAGGGAGTGGAGATGCGTGGGGGACTGGGTTCCAGGGCAAGGACCCCCCCACTGGATGCTGACCTCTGGGTCTGCCCCTGCCTCCTACAGTGGAAGCAGAACAAGAACACCCTGCTGGAGAACAGCCAGCATGTCACCACAGCCCTCCTGGCCCGCTCAGAGATCAGCATGGGTGACCGGCAGGTGCCACCATCCGCCGCCACCATGAACAGCCGCTGCTTCCAACAGCTGGATGAGGGCTATGATGAGGAGTATGGTGGCTTTGCTGAGGCCCCCAAGTTCCCCACGCCGGGTCCGTGCCCCCCATCCCTGCCTTCCCCACTCCCATCCCAGCCCTCCGATGCCTGTGATGCCTATCCGGGCCGATCTCTTCGGACCTCTGGCTTGGTCATTAACCACCTGCTCTGGCTGACCAGAGCTGCTCTGACTCACTCCCCACCCCTGCCTGCCAGGAGCTCTCTGGTGAAGTCCTAACTTCTGATCTGAGCAGCAGCCCTATGACACTGACCTGGAGAGCGATCTTCTGTTCTCTGTGTTGACCATTGACCTCCTGACCTCCAGCGTGTCCAGGGAGACAGCCTGTTGAGTCAACTCCTAACCCCAGCCTGGCCAAAGGCCTCCTGATCACCCAAATCTCTGCCCCGCCCAAGTCCCCCATCCTCTCACGTGACTGTTCTTGATGCTCACAGTGATCCTGAACTTCCTGTTCTCCTACTGGCTCAGCCATCGACTAACCCAAGATGGCTCTCGGGCCCAACAGATGGCCTTGCACACCCTGAAAATGATGGCTAACGGGGGCATCCGAGACCATGTGGGACAGGTGAGGGGAGGCATTCCCTGGAGGGGGCAGCAGGAGGTAGTGGGGTGGGGGCAGAATCTAGGGTCAGCCTCTAGCCCCATGTCCTGCCCGGCACAGGGCTTCCATCGCTACTCCACGGACCGCCAGTGGCATATCCCCCACTTTGAGAAGATGCTGTATGACCAGGCACAGCTTGCAGTGGCCTATTCACAAGCCTTCCAGGTGACCCCTGAACCCAGCCTAGAGCAAAGACACTTAGCCTGTCCTCCTACCTCTGGCTGCCCTTCTAAGGCTTGGGGACTTCTAGCTGCCCCCTTGTCTTCACCCTTAATCCCCTCCTGTATGCCCAGGCTCTCTCCCCACCCTCCTGGGAGAATGGTGACAGCCCTCTCTGTACCCAGGCCACCCCAGAGACCTCTGTTTACAGACCTCCCTCCTCCCACCTCAGATCTCTGGTGACGAGTTCTACTCCGATGTTGCCAAAGGCATCCTGCAGTACGTGGCTCGGAACCTGAGTCATCGGGTGTGTGTCCACTGAGGCAGGCGGGCCTGGAGGCAGGAGGGCTCGGGGCCTCAGCTGCCCTGAAGGCAGGGGCCAGCCAACTCTCCTCTTCCCACAGTCTGGAGGCTTCTACAGCGCTGAGGACGCAGACTCACCCCCAGAGCGGGGCATGCGGCCCAGAGAGGGGGCCTTCTATGTGTGGACGGTCAAGGAGGTCCAGCACCTCCTTCCTGAGCCTGTGCTGGGTGCCACCGAGCCCCTGACCTCGGGCCAGCTCCTCATGAAGCACTACGGGCTCACAGAGGCTGGCAACATCAGCCCCAGCCAGGTGAGGATGCGGGGCTGTCAGGGACGGAGAGGCCCTGAAGCCAGCAGGCCAGGTGACTCCCTCTCACCAGGGCTGTTTTCCTCAGGACCCCAAGGGGGAGCTGCAGGGCCAGAATGTGCTGACCGTCCGCTATTCGCTGGAACTGACCGCTGCCCGCTTTGGCCTGGATGTAGATGCCGTCCGGACCTTGCTCAATACGGGGTTGGAGAAGCTCTTTCAGGCCCGGAAACATCGGCCAAAGCCACACCTGGACAGCAAGATGCTGGCCGCCTGGAACGGTGGGGCGGCCATGTCTGCGGCCTGATCCTGTTGACAGATTTTATCCTTCAAGAGGCCCCTCCTATCTGTCAGGCACCTGCTAGATATCAGTTCTCCCTTTATCGGGTTTATCATTCCCAATTTACAAATGAGCCAATTGAGGCTTAAAGAGCCGAAGTGACCCACCCTAGGTCACACTCAGGAGCCAGGAGTTCTTACCCACTGCTCCAGAGAGGTGTCGGGGGCTTGGAGGATCAGGGCGGACACACCTGGAAGGGTCCAGCTGGCTTCTCCTGAAGTGTCTAGTGTCTCCTCCCTCCAGGACTGATGGTGTCTGGCTATGCTGTGACTGGGGCTGTCCTGGGCCAGGAGAGGCTGATCAACTATGCCATCAATGGTGCCAAGTTCCTGAAGCGGCATATGTTTGATGTGGCCAGTGGGCGCCTGATGCGGACGTGCTATGCAGGCCCTGGGGGAACTGTGGAGCACAGGTCAGGGCCAGGACAGCTTGGGAAGGCTGGTCTCCCTGGGCATCGCGGGCCTATCTCCGTCCCTCTCCCTCCCTCCTGGTAGGCTCCAATCCCAGCTCTTCCATTTGCTGCTATGAGCTCTTACCTTCCCTGAGCCCAATTACTCATCCAGGAAGTGGGCTAAAGGTACCCGCCAAGAGATAGATCTTGAGGGCTAAGTGAAAGGGCAGGTAGAGGGCCTTCTCTGGGAAAGCCTCTCTCCCTCGGCCTGTCCGCAGCCCCTTCCCTAATGCCTGTCCCCACAGCAACCCACCCTGCTGGGGCTTTCTGGAGGACTATGCCTTTGTAGTGCGGGGCCTACTGGACCTGTACGAGGCTTCGCAGGAGAGCTCATGGCTCGAGTGGGCTCTTCGGCTGCAGGACACGCAGGACAGGCTTTTCTGGGACTCCCAAGGCGGTGGCTACTTCTGCAGTGAGGCTGAGCTAGGGGCTGGCCTGCCCCTGCATCTGAAGGACGGTCAGTGGTGGGTGTGGGGCTGACCTCGACCCAGTTAGGGCTTGGGTTCCCTGGGGGAGGCATAAGCGCAGCGTGGTGGTAAAGAGCCAGCCTGGGTTCACCTCTCCACCACTTATTTGTTCACCAACGGACTTGGAGTTGGTCTTATTATATTCCAGATCCTCAGTTTCCTAATACATGAAACAGAGCTAGCATTGGTACTAACTTACAGGTGGATACAGAGATGGATCGAGCTATTCCACAAACACACTTAGCAGCAGTAACTGGGTGCTTGGATTCATAGATCATGCAAGGTTTACCCTCACAAAATACAATGTAGCAGGGGAAACAACTAATAAATAGTAATGACCAGTACAAAAGTGCACGCACAGATGGGTACTTACAACAGGAGCGTCATAGAGTAGTAGGCGCTTGGCCCCTTGCATTTTAGTACTGCTCACCATTACCTGACACATCTGGTATGTTAATGGTGCCCTCCCCCCCAATGTAAGCATCCTGGGAGCAAGGCTTTTCTTCTTTTCCTTCTGCATCATCCCCAGCACCTAGCATAGGCCTGGTACATTAGCAGGTGCTCCACAAATGTTAGCTGAAGGAATGAAAGGACCCGGCTGGAGAACAACAGTGGGACCTAACTCAGTGAGGGGGATGGACTCAAGCCCAGGACAAGCATCACTTAGCCAACAACTCTGAGAAGCCTGGAGGATGGGGGATGGGGCGGAGGCTAGCAGAGGGGAGGCACCCTCTTAGGCCAAGCTGGGTCCCTGCAGGGTCTTATAGGCCTGGCAAGTAGTGAAAATCTCTGAAGGGTTTTAAGTAGGTTGTGGGCTGGTCCGGTGAGGTTCCAGGAATATCATTCTGACTGCAGGTGGACAAAAGGGCCTTCCGAAGGGGGGCAGGGGAAACCGGGTGACCAGTCAGGAGGCCATCAGTGGCATTCAGTCCCAGTGAGGGCGGGCAAATGCTGCGGAAAAGCTAGAAGTACAAGATGGGTAGAAGTGGTGAGATTTAGGTCTACTCTGGCCATGGACCCAGCAGACTCTGGGTGGATTAGAAGTGGGAGGTAGGGGAAAGGTGGGGAGCGGCAAGGATGATGGCACTCTGGCTTGAGCAGCTGTGTAGCTGGATTGAGGAGTCCATAGATGGGGGAGCAGGGGGACCAAATGTTCAGCCCCATGCCAAGTGGCTGAGAGAGCAAGAGGTCAGCAAGTGCCGGGCATCAGAGCTGGGGCAGGATTGGGCCGGGGTGGACTCTTTCCCATCCCATCCCCATCCGCCACCACTGTGGTCACTGTCCTGGGGCTGGGTCCTGGGACCCTGTGACTGACCCTTACCACTCCCTCCACCCTGCCCCCTGCAGACCAGGATGGCGCAGAGCCCAGTGCCAACTCTGTGTCGGCCCACAACCTGCTTCGGATGCATGGCTTTACGGGTCACAAAGACTGGATGGACAAGTGTGTGTGTCTCTTGACTGCCTTCTCCGAGCGCATGCGCCGTGTCCCTGTGGCATTGCCAGAGATGGTCCGCGCCCTCTCAGCCCACCAGCAGACCCTCAAGCAGGTGTGGGGGGGTGAGGGCACTCATGCTAGGACCCGGGGGGGAGGAGGGGATCTGGGGCTGCAGTGGGGGCTGGGGGCATGGGGTGGGGCTCCTGGAGCTGTCCCCCAGAGCTCAGGTCTGTGAGTGTGTGGCTGTCAAGGAGTGTGTGCAGGTATCTCCATGGGGATATCCATATGAGCTGCTCTAGGCGGTGGAGGTATCCAAGTGAGTGTGCATCTGAGGGGCCAGGCCTCTGGCCTGGGTAAGTGATTGTGTGAGCACCTGCTACTCGGGTATTCAGAGCAGAGAGGGCAGGAGGCAGGGGCTAGAGATGCGTCCCTGTGGTTGGTGAAGTGTTTCTCTGTCTCTGTATCTGTGTGGTTGGGGCTGCCATTGTGTGGGCAGGCATGTGCTTATCTGTGTGCAAATCCCTATTTACATTATTGCTGGGTGTGCATGTCTAAATATGTGTGCCTCTGGAGGTGTGTGACTGTGCATCTGCATGCCCGCCGAGTGTGTGCTAGTGTGTTCACCAGTATGTATGTGCCATGTTCAGATTTGCCCTGATTATATTTGCATGTTTACCTGCACATCTCTGCTTCTATGTGTATGTGTGTGTGTGTGTGTGTTGTGTGCTGATGTCTGCACCTGTGGGTGCGTCTCCCTGGGTTTGTATCCCACTGCTGTGTAGGATACCATCACTTTATGTGTTCTTATGTACGTGCGTCCATGTTCCCACTTGCTGAGCTTGAATCTGAGGCAGCCTCCTGGCAGCTGGTCTGGAGGATGCTCAGCTGCATCCCTGTTCCTTCCTGGGGCTATAGTGCAGAGTGGAGGGAGGACAGGGAACCCCTGGTAGGTCTGGGTCCAGCTCCCCACCCCTGCTCCTGGAGTTACCTCTCTGTTCTGGCCAGATCGTGATCTGTGGAGATCCCCAGGCCAAGGATACCAAAGCTCTGCTGCAGTGTGTCCACTCCATCTACATCCCTAACAAGGTTAGAGTTTGTGAGCCCTGCCCCAGCCTCCCAACTCTCCTGCCTGGGGGCCCCCCTGCCCCTCTGCATCTCTCCACTATCCCCTCCTCCGGTGGCCCCAGGAGAGGAAAACCACCGTGGGCCCTGCCAGTGTCCCAGTACCCCCCAGGTGACTGTCTACTTTTCTGCTACCACAGGTGCTGATCCTGGCCAACGGGGACCCCTCCAGTTTCCTGTCCCGCCAGCTGCCTTTCCTGAGTACCTTGCGGCGGCTGGAAGACCGGGCCACGGCCTACGTGTGTGAGGACCAAGCTTGCTCAATGCCCATCACGGAGCCCTGCGAGTTACGGAAACTGTTACACCAATGACTTCCTCGACCGTGTCAGGCAGGGGCAGGAGGCCGAGCTTCCCAGCTGGCCAGACTCAGGCCCGGTAGGGCCCTGTGCATGCTGTGGCCATCCCTGGGCGCCCTGTCACCAGACGCCCTCGGCCATCCTCACCATCCCCCCCAGGGGCACCCACTCACCCTGGAATAAACCTAACAGCATCCCACGGGAACCTTGGGGTCTCAGCCTTGCTTGTGTGTGTGTGGGGGGACCTCTAGCTGACGCCTCTGCCTTCTCCAATTCCTTCTTCACCTTCAGAGGTCTCTGGGCTGACACTGCCCCAGTCTGTGGTCATTGCAGCTTGAATGAAACTCAGGGTAGGGGGCCTGTAATGCCTGCCAGGGCTGGGGGTTGGGGAGCAGCCTTGCCCTTGAGAGGGGATAGGCTGAGCCTGGCTTTCAGCAGGGTTAGGAAAGGATCCTGACCTCCCCTTCCCCCTGTCTCCTGTTCTAAGCTGGGGAAAAGGAAGGGGAGGTTTTATATGAGCGTTTATTTTTCATGAAATGATAACATTTGCATATGCTTCGGTACATCATGGGAGCTGCTGTTCTTTGGACCAGGGATGTTTATTTTGGGATGTCCATTTAGCTGCTCCCCCTTACCCCAGGATGGAACCAAGGCCCCCTGCAGGAGGTCATATCGTCCATGCCCCCGCTTTCATACCAACCAGTCCAAGGAGGGTTCTCTTTCATTTGGAACATATATTGGGTTGGAAGTTATTCTCCAAATCTGAGTCCTTCCTGCTGGAGGGAAAGATGATACTCTTCTGTGTCCTTCTCCAGTCCCTTCAGATGCTCCCACGCCCTGTCTTTGACCTCTGCATCTTCACAGACCCCCAGAAACCCCATCTAGCTTCCACCGCGGGGATGGCACTGGGAAGCGTGCTTTGGGAAGGGCAGGTGTAGTGGGATGGGGCTGACAGGCAGGGAAAGGGGAAGGAGCTGTCTCCCTCCCCGCACCCTTGAGGGATCTGCTGAGCCTGGGTACCCTTGAAGCCCCAGAGCCAAGCAGTACGGCCAGCCAGAAGAAGCTGCTAGAGATGACACCCAAATGGGGCCACTGCTTGTGGAGATGTCAGCAGTGGGCAGGAACAGGAGACTGGACTGTCCCTGCAAGTTCTGCACATGGTCACACACTGCCACACATGGTCGGGACCAGGCTCAGCTTTGACTGGGCAGCTGGGCCCTCAGTGCAAGCCACCGGCCCATCTGGAGAGGATTAGGGCTCCAGCCAGCAAGGTCAGGTGGCCCTTTTCTGGCTGGAGCCTGCTCAGCCTCAGGCAGGAAGTCCAAGGCCTGGGCAAGTGGAGCCAGGTCTGGGGGGCGGTGAGGAGGGAGGGTGGAGCCGGGGAAGCACAGGTGGCCTTTTTGGCTGCCCCAGCCCTGGCTCTGGAAAACCTAGGCAGTCTGCAAAACCCTCTGTCTCTGTTTCATTGACCCTCAAGAATGAGGTGGCAAGACAGGTACCTCTGGCCGCCTATGGATGGATACTCAAGGCCCAGAGAGGTCAAAGACTGGCCTGAGACCACGCAGCATATCTGGTTCTTTCTGTGGTCTTTGGGGGACAATAAAAATCACTGAGCCTTCCTCTTGCCCCAGGAGGTAGAGGCGCGGCTGTGAAAGGGGATGCATTTGGTGTCTCCTACCCCTCTAGCCAGTCTTCCTTCTGCTCTGTGTCCTCTTTCCCTTCCCCTGCTAAAGGGATTCTGTAATCAGTTCAAAGGAAGGTTAGGGCCTGAAAGAGTTAGGCTTGTGGGAGAGCTAGCATTTTCTGACTAGGGCAAAGCTGAACATCAGTCTTGCTAGGATAGGGGCTTTTACATCTGCCACCTCTCTTCCCTTGGCCAGTCCCTCTTGCGTGTGGTCCTTTCTCTGCCATCAAGGCTGTCCTGGAGGAGCTGGGAGCTGGCGCCAGTGGAGATGGGACCTCACCGTTTGAGAAGTCCTATACCTAATTTCATCTCCCTGAGCCTCGGTCTTCTTATCTAAAAAATGGGACAACCACCACCCCACTGTGAGGCTGTGAGGTGACTATACGGGATGATGTATCATCGCTGAGCAGAGCGCCTCACAGATGGGAAGATTGTCTCAGTTCCTGAGGGAGCCAGCCAGGCTGTGCGGGAGGTGTAAAGGGGAGAGGGCTGGAGGGGGCTGGAGGGGCTGACAGAGCAGGTCCTATATGGAGGATCTCCCCCAAACCCAGAGGAAATCTTAGACAAGGCTTCGGCCTAACTTCTTTGTTAGGAAACTGAGCCTCAAGAAATTTCCCATCCCTCATCCTCCTCCCTGCCTGAGGTTACTCATTCATCTAACAAAGATTTACTAAGTACCCACTGTGTGCCAAACTGGAGCAGAGGAGGCTGTGGTGAGCAGAATGGACGTAACCCTTGCCCTGAGGGAACAGAGATCCTAGAGGGGCAGACAATCATTTCCTTACATGAAGAGCCATGAGGTTCCAGATTCTGGTCTGGCTTAGTACTGTGTCTTCAGCACCTTGGCACATGTAGCATCGCAGTACTTGCTGAAAAAGGCTGCTCTGGGGAGGTGATGGCAGAGCCGAGGCTGGAAGGGTGAGACTTAAAGATGGTTTCACCCCTTCTTTTGCCTTCTCTGTAGGTCCTGCCTCCCACCTCCCCATCCCCCCACTCAGGTGAAGAGAGCATCTCTGACTGGATGTCAGAGTCCCCTGCTGCCCCCCGCCCAGGGATCAGGATGCTTTAGGTGGCAGGTCACCCCAGGTCCCGAGGCAAGGGAAGTAATGTGTATCTGCCCCACACCCTGCCCCCTTTCTGGGTATGTTCTAGAACAGAGTTCAGCCCAGAGACAGGGGTGGCCTGGATGAGGGATCTAGACATGAGGCCTGTGGACCACCACCAGGAAACCTGACCATTGGGCTGGGCCAGCCTCTCTGGGTTCATCATCCCCTTTGCAAAGCAGGGATGATTAAAGTCACTACCTCCCGGTGTCAGCCCTGGGGCTTCTTGACCCCATCGGGGAAGGTCAGGCCGAGGAGGCAGACTGCAGACGAAGGTGTCAGACACGTGGAGTGAACCATAAATAGGCCCCTCTCCCAGAAGACCGCTGAGACTTCAAGCCTGGCACCGCACACACGCGGAATGAGAGCAGAGACTCCCGCCAGGAGGGAAAGGCACTTAAGGGATCTGCTCATTAGCATGAAATGCAAATGAGCTCGGCCTCATTTACACGACTCGGTGCTCGGATTTGGGGAAAGGGCAACCCGGGAGGCTGCAGCGGCGTGGCCCTCCCCGCCGCACTCCCTGCGAGCCGCCCGCGAGCGAGCTGAGACACTCGCCCCAGGGGGCTGGAGGCGCGCGGGGCCTGCGCGGGTGGCGGGTGGCGGGTGGCGCAGCCTCGGGAGTCGGGGGGCGGGGGCGGGAGGTCACCCTGTCCATGCCCCTGCCTCTCCGCTGTGGCGTCAGCGACCCGAATTCTTGGGACAAAGAATTGACTGACCTGCTTGGTTCCGCCGCGGCCGTGTCTACCTCCCCAGAGGTGGGAAGCGCTTCCCCGACGTCTGATGCTCGATGCCCTCCCCGCCCGACCTCACTCCAGCGCCCAGCTCTCCCGCGGCGCTCTGCTCCGGGCACCTGCAGCCTTGGGGGGCGGCGGCGGCGGCGAGAGGGGGCTGGAGCTGGCTGAGCCCGGGGACTCGGGGAGCAGGGGCGGGGCGAGGCCCGGGCTGTGCACGTGCGTGTGCGCGCGTGGAGAGCCGCAGAGCCCCGAGGACCCGCTCTGGGTAGAACAGAGGCATGCGAGGAGGGCGGCCACGCGAAGCTCCTGTCCTGCGGACGGCCCCCCAGCCATACTGGCACTCAGAGGGAAAAGCTGAGGCACGGAGTGGGGGGCGGGGAGGGTCGGTGACACTTTGCAGGCCAAGACTCAGAAACCCCAGCTCCGCGTTTCGACCCCCTCCCGCACAGTCGAGGCCCCAGCAGGTCCCTTCGCAGGAGCCTCTGTCTGCATCCTCAGCTGCTCTGGGGGCCCTGGGCTCGACATGACCTGTCTGGGGCCACGTGTTCAAGCACTAAGCCCCTGAGAGAAATCCATAGCCTTCAAAGGATTCCTAGGGGCTGGAGTGTTGACTTGAGGTCAGGGTCAGCGGGTCAGGATTGGAAGGTCAGGGTCAAAGTCGCAGAAGGGGTCTACAGGGCTGAGAGGCAGGCTGAGAGCACACGCAGACCTTGCTAGCCCCTGACTTCCCTCGGCTCCTCCCGGTTCCCCAAGACCATCCCCCCACCCCACCCCCAGCCTGAAGCCCTACCCCCTACATCCCTTACATCCTTCTCCGCTCCTCCTCTTCTTCGGTCCTGCTCCCCGGTTCGACTCCAGGGTGGGCGACTAATCAGGTGGGGATTTCCCTCCGGGACCCTGGTCACACCCCGCAGCCCGGCCGCCAGCCTCTCTTCTCCAGGCCCGCCCAGAGCTGAGCCCCACCCTTCGGCTGTGGTCCAATCCAGGGGTCGTGGACAAAGGATGCCCCGGGGCCGACGGCGCTATCCCAGGACCCGGCGCCGAATCCTCTGCTTCCCCGGGGCTCCCTCGGGGGGAGTCCCAGAGACCCCAGCGGCCAATAGGAAAGTGGGTTCGGTCTGGGTAGCCGTCTAATTGGCTCTGGCCTTCGGGAGCGGACCCCGCGGCGAGGGGAGGGGAGAGGGGCGGTGCTGGGCTCCGGGGTGGGGACAGAGTTCCAGCTGTGGTTCTCTCTCCCGCGCCCCGCCCTCGCTGCCACGGCGGCCCGCCAATGGGCGCGCGGCTCGGAGCCGGCGGCGCGCGGCCATTGGCTGCGGGGCTGGCTGGGGAGAGGCGGGGCCGAGGCTTGAAGTTGGAGTGAGGGATCCAGCTGTGGCGTGCGCCGGGCTCCTCGCCGCCGCTTTCGCTCGCTCGCTCCGCGTCTCGGCCGGAGGAGGAGGCAGTGGCGCCGGCGACAGCTACGGCAGCGGCAGCCACCGCGGCGGCTGCTGCGGCGGCATCTCCGCCTCCGCCCCCGCCCGGGACGGCCCCCCACCGTCTCCCCGCCCATCCCGGACCGTGAGCCCGCCGCGGGGCGGAGGAAAGAGCCGCCCCCCACCCCCTCCAAACCCACCCTCAAAGAGAGCCCTCCTCCCCTCCCCCCGCCGCCGCTGGCGCGGAGCCGGG